ATAGCACATATAGAAGTGACAGAGATGGGGAAACCCAGGAAGCTGAAGGACACTCGCAGAAGGTGTGAAGGGCAGGGAGTTTGGTGTTGGGGCTAATTTGACCGTGGGCGGCAGTGCTCACACACTGAATGGCAAGGTTACCTCTCCCAGCTCAGAGAGGAGACCCAGATTCAATTAAGGCTGGGCCTGGTCTGCAGATCCTTTTAACTGGGGGCCTTCCCAGTGCACATGTCAGGAAAAACGTCCACAGAAGCATCAGCAGCAAACAAAAGCAGCCACACGGCTGTGTAACGTCTTCAGCTTCACTTAATTTATGGATATTTTAATGTGAGGTAAAGACACCAAAACATTTAAGGGATCCATTGATGCTCATCTTTATATTGCTTTAAAGCATGTTTTAGTTTCTAGTTTCTGCTGTTCGTCGGTTTTTGTCGCTCATTATTCGTCACAAATCTGTTAAATTTCATTTGGATAGAACACAAACTGGTGATAAATCAAAGTATAAATATCAGCATACGTATATTCAGCTGTTAATCTGCGTAACTTTGCACTGCACGGCAGTTTTGCTTTTCCGTCTTGTTTTTGGAGCAGACCACTTATCAGAGGTTTTGCACATCAATCCCTTTATTGTGTAAAGAATCAGTCTTTGAATAGATTTGGCTTGAAGGGTAGAAGCGATGCACAGTGCCCAGGACACTGAGTGCTGATTGCATATGTGTTTTGGTAAATGGCTTTCTGCTGGTTGATATGATTTATATATTGTGCATTTAAGTTGTCCAACAAGTCCAAGGTTTTGGTGGCACAGTAGCTGCTCTAGTCTTAGATGGGACCCGCTGAAGGAGGATCAGCTTCTCAGTCTGGGCTCTTCTTTCTGATTGATGGCACCTGCTCATCATAATGCTATCTGCTGGAATCTGCATACCAATGATCCCAGCCGCCTATCGATTCACCCCTCATCTACCCCACACACACCCTGGAGACCAATACACACACACACACCCACGCGCACACATTCATCCACTCCATCTCCCTCCCCAACCACTGTCATTATAAAAGTCAGCAGCTGCTGCTGCATGCATTGATCATAAATCATAATTGCTTCATTTTTCCCTACTTGTTTAATGTTGCTGTCAGGGACAGTAGGGGGAGAAAAGGAGGAGGCGGAGAAACGGAGGAAGAAAAGCCCAAAGAAAGTTTACTGAGACGCAGAAAAATGAGATTAGAACAGAGAGCTGAAGGAGAAATGGTCTCCAATCTCTCCGCTGGCATATCGAGTCCTCTGGCCTTTAAAAGAGCAGCAGCCTGACATGTCCGCATTGGCTCAAGAATTTAAGCTGTTTCCACTTCAGACGTTTTTCCTTTTAAAACCAACTCTGCTCACATTAAAAGAACCAAACTCTGATATAGTGCTAAATGGTGTTTTGTCTTCATGACGGTTTATGTAAGTGACCAAAGGCATTGTGTGCTAATAATATGCATCAGTATTTTAGAGATGCTGTTTTATTTGTTGTTTTTTAAATATAAGATAAATGGCGCAGGGACTCGGCAGTTCCATTCGTTTCCCCGGCTGAGCTGAGTTTCCACCTCGGACATGTCCCAGATCCCCTCCTCTTAATCCTGGAGTGAAGTTTAGCTTTGGTTGAATGTTTTGCAGCATCCATTGACAAAAACAAGTTAAATCGTTTTACAGAAATGAACTCAACATCTTTGACCGTCCCCTTCTCTGCAGATAAACGGAGCTACAGACTTTTATTTGTTCCCTTTTTGACTTTGAGTTGTTTTGACAATCCTGTGCTGATATTTTTAGGAGTGGCTGGTACTTTATGACAGACATGGAAGAATAAAATGTATCTGATTTTTTTTTCTTCTTCTTCTTTCCCCACTTTTGAGCACTTTTGGAATAGTTACACTATTTTTGATCTTTTTAAAAGTATGACTACATGCTGCATCTCTGTATTTCCTTAATTCACTCCTCCTCTCATCAATCTTGCTTCACATCATTTGTGTGTTAGAAAATGATAGATTGGTGTGACTGAAATTCACCAAAATTGCAAGTGTACTGATAGATCAATCCCTACCCATGCGGCTCCTAAACGCATTGCTCCACCCCATTAGGGTGATGCACTACACAGTGCTGGAGCGCTCCTGCTGCCATTGTGCAAGCAGCTGCTTTATTGAGCACTCTGCTGACATACAGCCCAGCGTTTCTGCATCGCAAGGGGAAACTTTGGATGACATGTAGAAGCAGAGGTTTGGTGCAACATGCCTTCATAATGGGATGGGAACTTGGGTGCACGAGTGAGGTGGGAGGGGGGCGTGCTAGCTGCAGGTATTGTGGGGGGGAAGGAGTGTCTCTTCCTGGCTGCTTCCAAAGCAAATGGAAGACAATCCAATTTCCTGTGATTCCATCAAGCCTCCGTCCTGGATCCGGGAGCATTAGGGAACGCTGAGAGGACAGGCCGCTGACCCCCTCACATGAACATGCAAGAGGCATGTAGGCTGCACACGTGCGCTGGCGTGCTCATCTGTATTGTTAGGTTTGTTGGCCTGTGTTTTATCAGTCACATATTTTCACTTACGAGCGCACACGCGTCCTTTTATGCTGCCGAACAACAAACTGCAGATTAGCGCTGGAGGCAGATTAGAGCTTAAAGCCGTTACACTTTAATTATAACTGTATTTATGTGCGGCGTGGTCTTTCACTTGGCCCTGGCTGTAAACATCTGCCGCTCTCCCACTGTGCTCAGTCTTTGTCTCTGTTGTGAACTAAAGGGGAAATTGGTTGCAGCATTATCTTATTTACACAAAATGCCGAGAAGATTAAAACGTGACCCTCTTGCTGTTAGACGTATGCGCGCATATATAAATGCAGCTATTTTGCTACAGGTCTGCCTGCTCTTCTCCAGACTGTCAGGCTGACACGTTTTCTGCAGTACATCACAGGTTGTGATTTGACTCTCAGTCAGACAGCATTGTTGTCTTGGGTTAACCGCTGCACGCTTTCCACGCTGGTGGCGATTTGCATCTGTTCTCTGTGATCCACCCAGAGGGAATAGAAAGCTCTAATCCAATCAGCAGGTCCCTGAAGTGCTGCCCCTGAGAGATGGAGAGAAACACAACAATAGGATCACTCTGCACTGGTTTCAGCAGGAGAAGGCAGACGGGAAAGGGAAGGAAGGGAAATGAGGGATTGTAGAGGAGAGGGATTAAGTCTGAAGAAGAGACGAGAGGAACGAACGGGGGCGAGGCGAGGATGATGGGTGAAGTAAGGAAATGAAATGAGGGAGGTGTGGCTTGGTGTGACAGGAGGTAACAAAACAGGAAAGACTAATGAGTAATTTTACAATAGTTTGGAACTTTTGTGACTGCAGTGACATGTGAGCTACAAGAGCCTCCTTAGTTTTAATCTTCTTTGAAATGATTCCACTTGGTTCAACTGCTGCTCTTGTTCTAAGGCCACAGTTTATTACCACGGAGGTGCAAAAGCAGGCTGGAGCAGTGATTTTAAACTGAATCTCCTGGTGATGGTGCCCGTCAGAACTGTCTTTTATATCTACAGACACGCAAGGACGCAGTTTCCCCATCGCTGTCCTCAGTCTAACACTTCATACAAGATATCATATCGCTGCCGCTGAGCCTTTTACCACAAGGATCATCTGTTCAAAGAGCGTACACTCAGATCACACAGATGTTGAGGTCACAAACTCGTGTATCAGATATGATGCACTTGATGTTATAGGTTAAACACGGTCACTTACAGATGAGATGGATATAAATTTATTTATTTTTTTAAGTGCATGTTTCTGGCTCATCTTTTAAAGGTTTATTTGGTTGGGGCTGAGTAACAAAGTAGCCATGAAAGGGTGAAATGCAATGAATGTAAATGTAGCCAAAGTCCAGTGTTAATAGACCTTGACCTGTTAAAATCCATACTATGGATGAAGGTGCTGGGACATCTACACTTTATACCTGCAGGAGCGGCTTTGGTGTGGAAACGTGTCACGGAGCTCCTAGCAAATAGTTTTTGTGCATCATTTGAGTTCTTTTTGTTTTAAATGTGTGCACTTTGTGTCTGAGCAGCTGTGGTTCCTAAATGCAGTTAGTTGGTTGTGACATTTCGTACCTCCCAGATATTCACAAACTAACTTGAATATAAGGGGAGTGCTACACTTAAATTCAGCGAGCTCTTTAGAATAAACCGAATGTTTAAAGGCTGCACGGTGAGTTGCTTTTTGTTTAAATACACCTGTGGCAAAATGACAGAACACCTAAACTCCAGTGTTAACGGCTCCGGCCTGTGTCTTGTCCATATAGTTTGATTTGTATGAGCTTTGACTTATTAATTAACACTTCAAACAAGCCACACAATAGTCTGCGAATTATAAAAAATAATTTCCAAATTAGCATCAACGTGAGTGAGAAATGTTCCCTTTCTTCCACTCAGACTTTGTAAATCCAGTATTGATGCATCGTTTTCGTAATGGTCACATAAACATTACAACTAAGGTTGGAAACCTGCTGTCAGCTGAGACGCCCACTGAAAACATCCAGATGAACAGATTCAACCTTTCGGTGATGGGTTTGGATTCGGGTTGATGCTGGATGGGCAGCTATGATTGAAGGGGGTGATGGCTCCCCTTTAATCTGAGCTTTAGGTTTCAGGTTAACCAGAGCTGGAAACGACCTGCAAGCTGAAAGTTTAGATTTTTCAGGTCACATGTTTCTCAAATCAATATCTCATCGTCTTAGAATTCCCCTTTGGTCCAGGCAAACATAAACACGGCACCCTTTGTCCACAAAAAATGTTTAATTTGTATTCAATCAGGTGCGAGTTTCCCTCTTGAAGTCTGGACAAAGTGACAGCTCACAACTTACTCACAGCAACTGCTGGCAGTATTTCTGTGTTAAGTGGATATTGTTTGAATGTGCACTCAGTGAAGTCTTGTTTTTGCTGTGTCACAGGTCCTTTGAATTAAACACTTGTTTTTGGCTTTTTACAGGACGATGAAGGACAGACGGCGTTGCATTATGGTAAGAAAGCATCGTGAACACTTTCCTCGCTGTAAAGCTTTTTGTGCCTATTTTTCAAATTGGCTCATCTCATTCCACATTTATTCTGCACAGACATCATGTTGTCTGCGTGCGCACTCTCACTTTATTTACAGCAGCTTGTTTTTTTGTGCGCACGCCTTCTTTGACTATATTTTGTTTCAAATTGATCATCTTTGAGTCCTGCTCCTCCCGCTCTATCCTTTCTATTCCTCACTTATTTTCTGCTGTTTTCCACAAAGTTTGTCATTCCTTCCTTTTTGCTCCTGCGTGTGTGTGTTTGTGTGTAATAATCACTAGACCTCCCAGAGGAAATCAGCAGTGGTCCTTAGACTCCCCTGACCCCCTCGTGCCCCAACACACATGTCCCTGAGGGGCGTTTCCCATGTCCTCTGAGCCTCTGTGTGCATGTGGCTGCACCATCTGTCCCTGTGCTTGGTGGCGTTGGAGTGGGCATGCTGGATTACCCACTGGAGATCTGCACACACACCCGCACTCACCAGAAGAAGCCCTGAGGATGGGGCATAAAAAGATGACTAATAAACATAAGCGATGAACTCCAAGAGACAAATAGCAGAGAATGAAAATTCATTCCCACCTCTCTTTGCACAGGGCCACACTGGCTGGCAAGTGATTAATTGAGGGTTTACTGCTCACCATAAATTGTTCTCCTCCTCTACGGCTCCCCCGAGGGCCAGCCACTTTTTACAGCTCAAGGCCCAGGCGAGAGACGCGCCGCACGCGCACACACAAGGCTGGCTAAATAAAATACTGTTTAGAGTAACAAGAGGAGGGCTGCAAGTGTGGCTGGGGGGGAGAAACAGTCAAGCTTTGTTACTCGGTTTTAGCTGGAAGATTAGTGATTCTTGTGGCTTTGCACACCTCATACATTCATTCATAGCTGCAGCTTGAGCATGCACACAGCCTTGCTCTCGCACTCGCGTGCATTCCGATGTAACATCGCATCCCGTGCGTGCACACTCCCACCGGCCACCTCTGAGCTGGAGGTTAAAAGGCCTTGCTGTCAATCACTGCGGCTGCTGACATCAGCGAACATGGCACAGCAGAGTCTGCTCTTTAAAAGCAGCGAGCGGGAGGGAGTGTGTCAGAGGGGCAAGAGGTAGATCGGGAATGAAGGAGCCCTCTAACTGGGTTAAGAAAGTGCATGCTGCCCCCCCGCCCCTCTCCACTCTGCACTGGGAGGGGAAAGACCCTTTTAGTGGGGTACAAATTGTCAATGGGGCAGAAATGAAGTGTTTGAAGGAAGCTCAGGTCCAAGCCAGTGTCAGTGCTGGGCCTGCAGATTAGCTTTTCATTAACTGCAGCACTTTACATACTGTATTAACCCACAGTGTGGAGACGGAATAAGGCACATTCACTCTAACCTGCCACATCGTAACAGTGGTTCATTGTTTCATTAACCATTTAAAACTAAATAAACGCAACCACATTAACTCTGTTTGGTTAAAACTCATTTATTAATAAAATGTTGCTAAAGCTGCAGTCTCAGTGACAACATGGAGGTAAACAGTTTCATTTGTCCAGGTGTATCAACTCGAACCAAAGTGTTTAGTTTATTCATCCATTCATACGAGGACTCGAGTTTCTGTAACGCCTGTCTTGGCAATCGATCCAACAGCTTTCACTAAACACACGTGAACCTCATGGGGGTAAAAACTCAAGGATGCTCACACTGATGTGATAGATAATTGGTTTTCTATGCATTTGTTCTCGGGAGACGGAATATTGATTTAAAATATCGTACATTTCATGTTGTTCTTTCGGTTTCCAATGTGACTTTGTTTTGTTTTTGTAGCGTCGGCGTGTGAATTTGTTGAAATTGTGGATCTGCTGCTGAAATCTGGAGCTGACCCAACTATCACAGACCAGGAAGGTTGTCTTCCTGAGGAGGTCACTGATTCCCGTGCGATCTCCCTTCTCCTGCGTGGGTACACTACTTCGAAAGGCTGAGTCGGCCTTGCATCCCACCACCCTGTTATTCCAATCTCCTAGTCTCCTCCCTGCTCCCCTCTTTTGCCCAGCCTTCCCATAATCCTTCATTCATCCCTGCAGAGACTTCTTTCCCCCTTTTCAGCCCTAACAGTCTGTAGACCTGGACTGCAGACGGGTTTTGTTTTCTATTTTGTCTTTTTTTTTTTTTTTTTTTTTTTTTTTTTTTTTTTTTTCCTCTCCCCCACCCAAATTGTTGAGGTGACTTTGATTTCATTGGTTTAGCTCTTTTTGAGCTGCGGTTGTAAACATTAGTCATTCAATTTAATACACAAGGGCACTGCATGTATTTTCAGTCTTCTATATACTGTATTGACTATCTGCACAGTAGGGTTGGGTGATATGACGGTTACTGTAAGACAGATTTATGAACTGATAAGGTATAGCTACAAGACTTTGACTGGAGATGGTGCAATTAAATGAGCTGGACAGCATATTGGCAATATATAAATGACATTGTGTGCATCTGTGTGTTAAAGCATCTGTATTTATCCGGCATCACCAGATCAAGCAAAAACAGACATCCCCATTCACTTATCTATAAACGCTATAAGATATCACAATATTTATCATCATCACGACATGGTGTAACATCCAAATCCATCAGAGAATCCCATACATATCACCCACTCCTACTGCAACCAGCCAGGCCTTTTAATCAGTTTAGTCTGTTCTAGTGGTTTGTTCATGATTCTGTTAGGTACCAAGGAATGCTTTCCACGTGTTTCATTAAAGTGTTCTGCAAACCTGCGTCCTTGACTTCCTGTTATCTGTTCAAAAAGAAGCCTTAAGCACTGTTCTAGAGTTCCCCGTGTGAGTGATGTAACCCGATTCCACTTGGGCGTCTTTCTCCACGTACATGTTTACATAAATGTGTGAGGCCATGGCCCACACTGCTGACGAGCGACGTCCGCAGAGCTGCTCGTCTTGCCAATGGACCAATGAGCTTGTGCAATGGTGATGCGTCTGCCTGCGCCTGCTTCACATGTGTTGGAGCTTTCGGATTTTAGTGAAACCTGCACATGATGATCACCTGATCCAGATTGTTCTCACGGTCATGTTTGTAGTTTTACGCTCCTAGATTCATATTTTTGGATAAATCTATTTTTTGTGAGCATTCTTGATTTCCAAGTCTGTAAATGCATCATTGATGATCTGCTTGAATCCAAGGAGGGCGCATTGCTATGGTCAGTGTTGGGGAGTAATGGAATACATGTACCTGCGTTACATATTTAAAATACAAAATATGAGTAACTGTCTTCCATTAGTTACCGTTTAAGAAGGTGATATTCAGAATATGCTCTCTCTATTTTTAGTAATTCCACTCTGGTGGAAACCCAAACAAAACGCGCATTAAGAGGCTCTAATGTCTGTCTCAATCTCGCAGCTGCATAATGACGTGAAGAAATATTTTTAAAATTATTATTCAAAAAATGATTTAATATGAAGGCAACAGGCAGAGTGTTGCAGGCATCGCCCTAAAGCATGTAGCCTGATGGGTGGTGTAGTCCGTGATGTGTCTGTGAGCGAGGGAGGAGAAAAGGAAAAGTAGGAGCTGTCACGGAGCAGAAACGGGAGCTGGAAGCATGTAAATATAATAATAATAACCACTGCAGCCAAACAGAGCCTGACGAGCCCAGCTGTAAGTAAGCTGTTAAGACTCGACTCTACACAGTGTTCGTGTTTTCCTCCGAAAACAATAAGCTCCGTTGGAGCCTTTCAACGTCTCTCTCTGTCTCTCACTAGCAAAGTTGACCCAGACAACAAAGTAAAGCTAGTTTTCAGCTACGAGCCCGACACGAACCCGACGAACCCTTTACTACGGTTCGGAGCCGCGGACCTGTTTTATATACGCGCGGAATAGTTTTCTACACGAGATCGCTGCAAAAAGTGCAGCTTTACCTAATGTCCACCTACTGTTACTCATTTATATTAAGATTTAAACATCTTGTTTGTTGGTGGTGTTGGTATGGTGAGTAACCTTCAGTAATAGTAATAAATCACCAGTGTTGGGACTAACGCGTTATTAAGTAACGCGTTACAGTAACTACGTTATTATTGTGGTAACGAGCACGGTAACTAGTTATTATGCCAAAATCAGGAACGCATTACTCGTTACTGGGATTTAGATAGGGTCGTTACTCGTTACTTCGAGTGGTGGCTATCGCGGAGCTTCCACAGATTCAGTAACATTAGCAAGTGGTGGAGGCCAGCAGGTGGATGAAGGAAAAGAGACCCGAGGCGGCCGCCGGTCCGAGTGTGAACTGAACTTCAGGTAAGAAGTTCTGACCTGCAGTCTCTCTGGGTCAGATATGAACCAAGTTTAGGTGGAGTTTATTTTCGTTATTCTGACTTTTTCCGTACACCGTGCTAGCTAGCATGACGGAGTTTCTATACAGCTGGGTGGTGCTATGTTACTGATGTTGAACTTTATTTTGTTCATAAGTTATTAGAGTTGCCAACCGTCCCGTCTGGTATTCAGAGAAAATATTACGCGTTTCTTATTGAGGTGAAAAGGAACAGTTTGTCCCGTAATTCAGCTACAATGAAAAAGACACAAAGCTGGAGTTATTCTGTCTTTGCTGCACAGCTGCCTCTTCTTCTCTCATTCACTCCCCCTCCCTCTCCTGTTTCTACTTCAATCATGAAACTGATCAATGATCAGCTGATCGGCTCTCTTGTTTGTTTATCGCTCACTTTGCGCCGAAAGAGGAAACCAGCGGATGTCGCGCTAAACAGCAGCAGCACGTTTAAGCTTGATCAGCTGTTGTTATAATTTATTTCATATTAATTTCTAGTATCAGCTGATGTTTGCTGGAGCCACAGCTGTAAAGCTGCTGGTCATGATATCGGTTTGGTTATGTGATGAGAGGGAAACATGAAGATGAAACCAGGAGATGTGATGATTCATCATCAGAGCTGTGATGGAGAAACAGGTTTACCTTTTAGGTGACATGGATGAGTTGAAGGGAAGTTATGAACTGTTTCTGAGAGACAAATAACACCAGGATCCTTTTTTAGGTAGCTGACAGCTGGTAACTGTGCAGCAAAGTGTTGCCAGGGGGGCATGTAGGGCATTAACAGGGAAAGGGGGGCACAAAGAAATACTTTTCTTTCTTATTCTCATTTAAAATGTCTCGCTTTTAAAAAATAATTATCTGAATCTTACAACAAACGATTGATAGATTGATGCATATATACCATCAGAACAGTGAACATCACTGTCACAACTGTTTATTTTCACTCAAAGGCTTTATGATTTTTCCTATAATGGTGGGCTGGTCTCTAGTCAAAATGTCCGGGCCAATTTTCTGTCCCAGTCCAGCCCTGTATGCAGCTCATCTGCAGTCTGGTGTTACCTACATCTTCCTATTCAGAAGGCAGAATTTCTGAGTTCTGAGTACAATCAAAAGCACCACGACTGCAGTTTTTGTGTTGGATGTAAAAGGCGCACATGACGCTGTGACGTAGGCTAGAATCATGGCAGCAGTCAATGACGGTCCAGGCGTGGGATTTCTCTCGTGGAAATATGCACATTATCTTTTCCTTTCTATTGGTCGGTGGCACAGTGCACTGTGGCAAGTAGGCAAGCTAGAAGGCTGGCAAAGTTATGGAAGCAACACATTAACAAGAGAATTCTGAGTAAAACCAAAGTTACTTTCCCTAGTAACTAGTTACTTTGAAAGTAACGAGTAACTTGAAGTAACTGAGTTACTTTTGAGAGAAGTAACTAGTAATGTAACTAAGTTACTATTTTAAAGTAACTTACCCAACACTGTAAATCACACAGCAATAGTTCATTCATGTAGTTGTAAGAAGCATGATAATATATTAAGTAATCCAAAGTATTTAGAATACGTTACAAAATACATTTTGGGACATGTAATCTGTAGTGGAATACATTTTAAAAGTAACCTTCCCAACACTGGCTATGATTAAGTGCACGTGCAGTTGCACATACAAAACACCTGATCGTTAACAGCAGCAACGTCGTTTAAGGTAGAAGCAGGCCTCATTACAATAAACCTGATCAATAATCAAAACCAAATCTGGGGGGGAAAAGTTTTATATATTCATAATTACTAAGACGACATTTACTGGAGCTTAAACTTCAACACATGCACAAAGTATTTGTTCTTTTCTAACCTCCAACAACATGTTCGGTTCCTTAGGTTTCGGTGGCCTGATGGACACAATTGTTTTAATTCAAACATTTAAGCCACGTCCCCACGTGACCAGCAGAGACTGTAGTCCACAGAGCACAAACACAACATATTGTATATAGAGAGCAGCCTGTGCATGATTATGTCATATAAGGAGGAATCTGGATGTTCTCCAAAAATAACCAACACATGGTCAGAGTCCAAATCAGCTTTACTGGTCCTCAGCTCTATGACACACACACACACACACACACACACACACACACACACACACACACACACACACACACACACACACACACACACACAGTGCAGCAGACGAGAATGCACTAAATCTGGATCCTGCTTCTTAACTACAGATTCACGAAGACGTCGTGCACGTTTTGGGGACAAAGCTTAATCCTTTACTCTCAAACACACAGCTTTGCTTCCCCCACCCTCCTGCACTGTGTTGCACTGGAAATCTGCTCTAACACACAAGGCGTTAGATAACTGTCTCAACATGTCAGCCACTCGCAGATCTGTGACAGCTTTACATGGCCTGGTGAGGATCAGTAGTCATCGCGTAGGGGGGTAGCGGTTCAAATTCGATTTTTCGTCCTGACAGGTGTTGTTGTGCTGGCAGTAAATTCAGATGCAAGTGAGGTGTGCTGTACACGAGTTGAATTAAGATCCCTCCACGTGATTTCGAAATCTGCATCCGTGTCTCGTTCAGCCCTGCTTTCACAAGTCTCAGCGGGGAAGAGGCCTCAGAGTTTTTATTTCATCTTCCACTTTTGTAGACTCCGGCCAAAGAAGCTTCCTCAATGAAATTGTGTCCATGTCAGCTCATGAATTTTGAGGAGGAACCCTGCATAAGCTAAGACGGCGCCTTTTGAGTATTCAACATGAGTCCGAGACATGATGCTCTACAATCCCACAAAGAGACAACCGCTGACCATCTCGTCGTTATGAATTCTGTCCACATCCAGCCATTAGGCTGTTGGTGTATCTCTAAAGCCTGTTTGGGTCTCGGCGTTGTCTCCCCGTTGCTTCCTAAACCCCGTTATACTTGCTTGAGGTAAGAGAGAATGACGGCAGTCGTGCTTCCCTCCCGGCTCGTCTGCGAGACTCTGACACTAAGCCCATTATGCTTCCATTATGGGGCTTCAATTTTCCTCTGAGCTTTTCACTTCTGACACGGCAGCTCCCTCCCTCCTCAAACCGCAGACTCATACCCCCCAAGGCCTAGTGCTGCACGGCCGTTCAGTTAGGAACTTCAGTACGTTTTTAAAGTACCAGCCCTGATTCTTATTCAACGGCAGTTATTTAAAATTGCACTAAGATGCATAATATGACAACGTTACATGTAAGCAGGCGTCAACAACAAAACATACGAGACAAAGCTAACTTTGCACATTTATACTTCAGTAATGATTTAGGGCAACTTTGACAGCAAAGTAATTAACACTTATGAGATTCAGCGTCTTCCTCAAGAAGCTGACATGTGGCTGCAAAACTAGTGAGTACAATTAGCCACATAGCAACACAGCAAACCATGTCATTTGTAAGATGTTATTAAAAAAGACACTAACACCACATACATGACAGCAGTGTAGCCTTGCATGTACCTGAGGTGAGGCCTAGCATAAAGTTAGTGGCCGAGTTGGCACCCACCTGTCACGCCAGCCCAGACCCATCTTTAACTAATTTGGCGATCATGTGGAAAAATAAAATCCAAATGGATTCTCACAGGGAAAACAAAACCGTGCTATTCCTAACTGTGGGAAACTACTGCACAGTCTTCAGAGGCAGATTCTGGGGCGATTTTTTAGTTTCAGGGTGAGCCAGCAGGTATTTATAACAAGCATTATTGTCAGCATTACTGACACCTGCATGCAACCAAAGCCTCCTTAATCCCGACTAGAAACAGAAACCCAAACTTCTTGTTCCTTGGCTGATAAGTGTACACAATTTATTTACTATTTATTTATTCGTCAGTACAGAAAAGCGTAGCTGGGATGTTGAGGAATTATAGCGTCATTCTGCACACTGCCTCTCCTTTACTTTCTCTCTCCCGTAAAAGCCATACCATGTTCCTGCTTTGGCCCGCTCTTAATGCAAGCCTTTACCTCGCCACAGCCCTTCCTCCATCTTTTCTTTATGCTGCAGCACGCCCCCCACACCCACTCTCAGCAGCAGCGTGGTTAGGAACCCAGCAGTAAGCAAAAATCCCCCTGCTGCTGAAACAGTCTCCACTAATACCAGATTGGTTTAGTGGTGGCTTGGACTGCGCTCGTGTGCGTTTGTGCAGGTTTGTGTGTCCTCCACTCTGGTGCCTATGTGTAGTTTGCGTTGATGAAGAAGCGTTGCCACTAACTACCGAAACCAAAAAGTTGATGTTTAAGACTTAAGGCGGAAAACAGAGGCTTGGTTCTGAGTTACATTCGAGATTTTTCTTCAGTACAGCTACACATTGTCATCTACCTGATTTGGCTACCTGTAACCTATCGGATTTCTGTGGAGTGGAAAAGTCCCAGTTTCACATTAAAACAGCATTGAGCTCACAACCTTGAGGGTGTCATTGAGAGGCCTCCGTTTGACTCCAGCTCCTCTTTAAGACTCACTCCGTCATGCTGCGGATCATTGTTCACTGCAGGCTGGATGAAGTTGTTTGGGGAGAAAAATGTCCTGTCTCAACGCTGCAAGATTGACTTTCGGTCTGAAAACAAATCCTATCTATTTTGCATGTTAATTTATTCCCTTTTGCTTGAGAAGGGAAAAAAAACAGTTTCCTTGAGGAAGTTTGTAATAAAAGCCTTGCGATCGATGATAATGGCATTTGTGCTTGTGTTTGTCATCTTCGCAAAAGCAACAGTGGTGGAGTTTCCACAGATTTATTTGTATACTAGTGCTGTAAGTGGCGTGTAAATTATCCTAACTGTCCGTGTGGCTCTTTATCTTTGTAAGCCAGTACTATTAGACCCTATCCATTAATGCCCATAACCCAGCCAATCAATGCTTAAATAAAAATCAGCTCAATTTGTAGCATTTTATGCAAACGTGCAAACTCCAACCAGGCTGACTCTTTGCTTTTTGTTTTTATAATGCTACAGGAATAGCTAAAACACAAAGGAATCGATATCACTTACGTTTGGGTTGTGTTGGCCTGCTCTCAAACAAATGCTGCACGTTGCTGCATAGAAATGAGTTTCATACGGATGTACACTGTGCTGTAATTTCATTATAATTCTATACATGCTGCGCTTAGCCAACACCATAGTCACAGGGAGTAAATCCATTGTAACTCGTGAGCTTTTATCAATGCAGCAGGAACTGCATGTGTGTGAGTGCCAGTTACAACTAACGACGCTGGGTTCACTGCACTGACACGGAGCCCACACGTGACTGTTTTGTGTCATTTCGTGGTAGCGTCTCAGGGGTGATGGCGCCGATCGTTCTGTCTGCTGTTTTGGTTGAAATGTGTTCAACATGTGAATTTTAACAATTTTGAAATCAGTGTCTATGAAGCAGCTCCAGCGTTACTTTATGTTGTGCATGTATTAGGATGCTTATGTGCTAAACTAAGAAGGCCTCTGTCACACCCTCACGTTTCCATTGCAGACTCCTGCTGGGACTCACTGTTATTTTCTGTTTTCACGTTAAGTACAGATGAAAATGTGCAGAGGAGGCCTTTTAGGTAATAATTACTGCAACTAAAATTTAATTTAATAACTAAATAATTTTTTGTAGTATTACAGTCATCTTAGGGTATTTTTTTACTGGCCTCTCAGCAAATTGTTTATTTACCAGCTCGACATGTGCGAGCACGCTGCCTGCATATGGATCATGTTCCCGCTTTGCCTGACTACAAAGCACATTTGCCTATATTTCACAATTAGTTAGCAGCTCAGGGATTAAGGGTAGATTTGACAGTGCAGTGCTGCAATCTGCTGTTGTGTCTCTTTAGCACTGAGAGGATCAGAGAAATAGCCAGCGAGCATCTGTTTCTGCACTTGTTTTATTTCTCTCTCCGGCTTTCTTTCCTTAATCTCTCTTCATGCATCTTTCTTGTCACCCCACCCCCCACCCCACCCACCCACCCGGAGAGCGAGAGCGGAAAGCAGTATCAATCACTGTTAACTGACTGACCACTGTCTGTTGGTGGTACTAAATGGATCCCCACAATTGAATAGAGGCCTAAGTGTGTGGTAAATGCTCTCAATGGGTAAATGAATTTGCGGGTTAACTCGCTCTAAGAGCGTTTCAATAAGGCAAAATAATAAAAACACCTACAGCACATATTTTTCTTTTGATATATTAAAAACAAAGTCCAGCTGAAAATCTTAAGTCTCGCATTCATCACCGCAGGCCCGGAGTACGAAAAGAAAGCAGCCGAGCGTAACCCAAACACAATCCAGCTTTATTTTCCTCATATAGATTTGACTGTACACAGTTCAGACCATTACACAGAAGGCATAAATGAATAAATTCAGTGCTCTCTTTTACATCTTTTTCAAAGACACATGGCAATAATAAATAGCGCTCATGAAACAAGACGATCAACACGTTTTCAAACTGTACAAAATTTACAGCAATTGAGATGCAAAGTTTGGAGGCAACACAGACTGAATGAAACTGTCCTGGTAATATGTTTGTTATTTCATTTAACTGTGAAACTTCGATAGAAGCTCAAACATTACGCTGTAATTACGGTGCACTCATCCTGGGGGTAACAGATGTTTACTCATGGTTGATGTGGGTTATAGACTGCATCCCTTTTTTAACTGTCACATATGAACACATGAACAATTGTAATGTTTACAGTAGCTCAGTAATTTAAAACGAATGTTTTGATCTCGAGTACACTATTCTTCTTTCAAAACTTTGTCCACGTTGCTTCCAACTGTCATTTCTAAGTGATAAATGAAATAATCAAATATGAGATCTTCCTAAATTTGTTTTTTCTATAATACATTTATTCTTCGTTGTTTTGGAATTTAACTAACTGTAATACATCTAAATGTTACCCCCGTGTTACACTTTATATAGTTTTAATTTTATCAACCAAATAATTACGCTGTAATTTTAGAGCTGTAATCTCGAGTTTCTCTGAATAGTGTCATCTTGTATTTCTTTATTTGCTTCCTGGTATTGAAAACACTCGTTTTTTTCCCTCTTTTCCTTGTTTTTTTTTTTAACAAAAGAAGTACCCACATGAATAAGACTCTGTTTCTCTTTTGAAGCAGAGATCAAATCTAAATGATGGTTCCTGCATGCTCAGCAGGTCAAGAATCAGAAACACCGAATCGTTCCACTGTTTCAGTTGTTGTGGGTCTTTAAAGATGCAGCTGTGGGAAATGCATCGGCCCGGCAGTCGTGCCAGCACTGACGCTAAAGCATCAGCCCTGAATGTGGGGGACTATCGGTAATCCCTCTGACATGCAGGCCAGGCAGTGGGAGAACAGGCTGACGACACATCTGGGGTCAGTAAGTAGGTTGATAGCAGGCAAAGCTGCACTGAGTAGATTACCAAGAGGCGCCTGGATCAGACCGAAGAAACTCAAGAGAGTTTTTATCTGTGTTCCTGCTTGTTAGCATTTTAAGTGTCAAATTTATGTTTGCTTTTCAACGTCTGCAAAAGAATCTGCATGTGCATACAAATAGATAAGATGCGGGGCGTCTTTAGCAGTTAGAACTGAATATTTCCAAACCGTATACATGTCTTGACTTTGCCTTAAACGTATAAGCTTTTTATTCCTGGCGAGTCTGTGTCTGAGATAATTTAATACTGACGGACGTCTGCTTCCAGACCAGCTTTTACACAGATGACAACAAGTCAAGCACCTATAAATATAGAAGAGAGATCTGCTTTGTAGCAAACAGTGATCGCCCTCATTCAAAGAGGGGAGACATAAACTTCTAATGAACAGACGGACGGACAGAGGAAAGGACGGGCAGACCAACAGTCATCTATTTCCTAATAAGTTTGAGCACTATGTTAAAAACAACAAAAGCATCAGCGTGGTTCAAAATTAACACTTGTGCCGCTCTTTTTTTGTAAATTTCTCTCCCAATGAAACACTGTTTGTTGCCTTGTGCATACGTCTCTCCTCCTTTTCTCTGCTCTCCCCACATTCCTGTCCACACGTGTAGAGAGACGAGGAGAGTAAAGTGCATCGCCAATGTAAAGGCTTGGATGTGGCTGTACGGCAGGCCTGCTCAGTATGAATGAGAAGCATGCAGGTGACTCCTGGGTTTCGTAGGGACTTTGATCTGGATTGTGTCGCCCTAATGTTGTGTGGTTTATTTCAAGGGATGAGACGTTTCTCCCCTGTGAGCATTACTCCACCGATATATTTGAGATCCGGTCTCACTTTCAGAGAGTGAACGAACAAAACAAAGTGTAAAAAACGATCATATGATGCAGAGTTGACTCATTCTGTGTGGAGGCGTTCTCGCTGCTTCCGCTCAGACTACATATCTCGATGGCTACCTCACCAACTACGACTGCTGCGGGACTCTCCCTTCTCCTTCGCCCAACATCGCACCCGAAACATACCAGCAGTGGACCGTGGAGAATGATAGAAAGAAATGTAAAAAGCCTTCTGAGTCCACTTTGATGTTTCCCCACAGTACTTTTTTTTTACCATGTCTGAGACTCAAAACTGGGAATGGTCCATCTCGTCCAGCCATGAGGCGGGGCTGGTGGGGAAGTCAGGGTATCCCGTACTGCTCCCTGTGGAGAGGTCTGAGGTCGGGCCTCCTGCCATGGCCCTCAGAGCCTGTCCCACACCACCCGGCCCCCCCTGTGCCACCAGGCTGTCCATGTTGAAGCTCAGGTTGTTGAGGAGAGGAGTGTGGCCGGGCAGAGAGGCGATGGAGGAGGGCGACTGGGGGAGACCGTAAGGGCTTCCCGCTCGGATGTCGTGGTAGGGCTGTCCCGCCGCGTCGACGGAGAAGCCGCCATTCAGCGTGTTGGTCACATCGCCGACGCTCCCGTAAAGCCCGTTGGCGTGGCCGAGATCTGACAGGACCTGGTCGTCTGCAGAGGAGAAACCGTCACTTAGCACGAGGAGTGTAAAAACTTTGAGACATCAACAGCGCCGTCACCTGTGCGAGCATTATACAGTTGTTATATTTCAATACAGTTAAGTGCTTTTACGAGTCAGATTTATTGTGGCAGATTTCATGGAGGTACAGTAAATGGACGAGCCACTGAAGTCTTTGAAAGGCTTTTCGGTTCTCTTAGCGAGAAAGTGAGAAAGGATGCTCTTTCTGCTTCATCTCTAACCGAGCAATTACTGCAGCACAAAATATTTGTTTCCATCTCGTCCCTCCCCTGGGTGGCTTCAATAACAACAACGCCCCAGAGCGCTTTCTCTCTAATTGACTAAAAGCCTCACATGCTTTATAGAGTTTCTGTCACCATGTTTTCATTTCTCATAAAAATAGCCTTCTTTGGCTTGAGGACTTTTATGACTACCAAAAACGGGGTGTGCAAACATTAAATAACATGGCATGTCTAAAACGCCGTTTGCATCCCACTAAGGACCCTCTCTCTTTTCCAATAAGCTCCATCATGGTGACAAACAGAGGCAGGAGGATGCGTCAGCAGCCACAGGGATGTGTGACGGGAATGTGAAATGAGAATGCCATTTTGGATTTGCCCGACTGCGACGCCACGCGTTGATGAATGCTAGAAAACAAATGAAACGCCACAAAGACACTTCCAATTGCCGCGGCGCTCGTGTCATTTAGCAGCTTCTAGGCTCCCTCGATCCCATTAGCACGGCAGCATGACGGACAATTCCCTTCAGGGATCTCACTTTTAAGCAATAAAAGCTGCATACCTCTGAAGCTCAGCTCGCTGTCGCTGAGTCCTGCGTCGTCAGCTGAGCTCTCCTTCTCCACTTTAGTTCCTCCTCGGCTGCGTTTGACACTTTTATAAAACTGAGTCCAGCGATGCCGCCCTGCGTCTTTCTTCAGACGCTTTTCCTTCGCTCGCCGGTTCTGAAACCAAACCTGTGGAACATTTTATTTATCGTTAAGTGCAAATGAAATTATGAAACACTCTCTGAAACATTATCTCCAACTAAAAATAAATGACAACAGGAACGATACCTTCTTAGTCTGACTTCAGCCTCGGCCTTTGTTTGACGCAATATAGCGTCACTCTTTATAAATGTGTTTATTTGCAACCTGAGCTTTTAAATTCACAAATAAACTCATCAAATTTTAATTATCTCACAACAGTCGATACCAGAAATTTTAGGTAGGAAAACAAACGCATGACACTAAAGTGAATATGTGAAAAAAATGTAAGCTTTGCACGTGGATTCTCAATAAGGTCTGATCTTTTTAGCTCTGAAACACTCTAAAATACTAAATATCCTCATTTAAATTTAAAATTCAAGTAAAATGCATGTGAATTATGTTGTTTCCAAATATGTATTTGCTTTTTAACATTTGTATCAGCACTTGAGAGGCTGGGATTCAGCGATTCCAAAGTAACTTGCTTCATTACAAAAACTCGATCCCAGTGAGTCAGCTTTCTCAGGGACCTGCAGGATATAGCCAAAATACTCTACCTGCACCACTCTCATGTCTAACCCCGTCTCCGATGACAGCTGCTCTCTGACGTGGCGTGCAGGCTTCGGCGAGTTTTTGTAGGCACTTTTGAGGGTCTCCAGCTGTTTGGCGGTGATGGTGGTCCTTGGTCTCTTGGTCCCTGCCTCTGAATCATCTGAAAACACCACACACACGAGCGTGAGTGACTTCTTCCTAGATTTGTCATGTTGCCTCAGCAGGCACTGCCCTCAGGCCTTCACATTGAGCGTGTCTGTGCTCAGTGAAGTGAATGGTCATGTATAGAAGTGTATTATTGTCCTTGTGCATCTGTCCCACTCCCACAGCAGAGGACATAAATCTATTCACTGCCGGAGGAATGGAGTGATTGGAACAGCACCATATAAGAGCATTGCTTCACTTTGCATAATCAATCAGAGATGCATGGACATCTGAGGAGAGAGGGAGGGAGAGAAGCAGCACACACCCACAAACAAACAACACGGATCCACCGGCAGGAGTCGTATTACCGCTTTGCACCGTGAATACAACTTCATCCATGATTCATAGTGTTGTGATTCTGGTGTAGTTAAGTGAAGTCATCAGCACTAAACCAGGTGGATAAAAACTGCTAAGAGTTATTGAAACATCTCTTTTTTCATATTTTCAGTAAACGCTCGTTGTAGCCTAACATCGAATGCTCCTGCACACCTACCATTTTGTTTGGCGGCCTCGTAATCCACCTTGCACACCAGCCTCCCGTCTTCCATGAGGTAAAACTCGTCCCCGGTGGCCAGCTGTCTGCTGCACATGATGCAGGCGAAGCAGTGCAGGTGATAAACAAAGTCCTGCGCCTTCCGCACAACCTGTGTCGGCGGGATGCCCTGCTGACACGATGCACATTTTGTACCAAAACGTCTGCAGGAAAACATGAAGGAGAGAGAGAGAGAGAGAGAGACGCCATGAAAAAATTTGTAAAACGCCGGCAGGGTGGACTGATGGAAAGAGTGCGAGCAGCTGAGATTAAAATTTCACACACTACATGACTATTTCTTCATCTGCAGCCAAGAATGATGGCACAGTGTCTGTATTAATAGGAACTCCAGCTGCTGAGGAGGGAAAAACCATCCCTGGAATGTGTTTCTGTTAACGGTAGATCTGCCAGCAGACTGATAGATGGACTGGATCAGTGCACTGTGTGGGTTTGAGTGTGCATCTGCATGTTTGCATGTTTATGTGATTGCAGATGAACTAGAGTAAAAAGAGAACAAGAAGAGGAGGAGAAGGAGGAGGAGGGGTCCTCACAGTAAAGACACCCCGAGGAGAACCAATAAAACACTGACTCGGGAGAGGCTTTAAATCACAGCACAGACACACAAAAATAAAAAGAGCAAGGTGAGGCCTCCAAATCACCTCTGGGAAGCAAACACCAGCAAAGCTATGTGTATGTATTATTTAGTATGTGTGTCTGTGTGTGTTTGAACATGCTACAGCCCCCACCAGCACTGCCCCCTGGGTCACCTAACACAGTTAGCTCCCAGTGAGACTCCGGAGCTCTTTAGGTCTCTTTCTAGCTTTGAGCATTAAAACCTTTCAAACATGATTTAGTAAAAAGCCCCAATATGCCGATCGTGTTATGGATAAAAGTCAAACTCAATTTTCTCCTGCAATGCCTCAAACATCCAATTGTTGAAAGAATAAACGGCAACTAGACTGTGAAATAAAGGGATTTTTAATCTTTCCTACAGTGTGACAGAGCTGCCACTACACTGGGAATCAGGCAAACTGTGCACATTATGAGGGCAACCAGCATCACACATGTTCAGTCACAACAAAGAGGAAAACCATCAACCCAAGCAAACACACCTGCAAGCTGTGTTTCTGTTGTTCTTCATAAATTAGGGGAAAGTGGTGAATATGTATTATTAAATAATTAAAGGTAAAAAGACAAAGGTTAGCCTAATACACATGTATGGCACGATGTTATATTGCTAGCATTTTAACCGTGTTAGCAAACGGAAACCAGTCGGTTGCAATACTAAATGCACCGGAACTATTACAGGTCACAGTCGGATTTTTGTCAAGGAAAATTGTAATATTTGTTAGTGCTGCCCTGGAGAAAGGCTGGGCCAGTGCTCACGCTGCAGGAAACAATCCACGCGGATGGTAAGGGGAGAAAGCAAAGGAAGAAGCGCACTTACTTGAAGAAATCCTCCTTGCAGTAGACGCTTCCTGCCCGGGAGAAACATTTGTCCGCCAGCGGTGTCTGGCAGTCGGCGCACTTGAGGCACTTGGAGTGCCAGTGTCTGTCCAGCACCTTCAGGATGAACTTGTCCAGGATGTGCTGACTACAGCCTGCACACTGAGGGATCTCTGTGACGGAAACAAGCGCAGTCCCGCGTAGTTAACAGAGAAGCAAAGAGGCAAAGAGAAATAAGCGCTTTACGCGAACGAAATTCATTTCGTTTTACCTTTACAAAAACAACAACAAAAAATGAAATGACATTCATGGTGACGGAGAATTGTTTCGCACATTAAAGCAGGTTTTCGGGGTTTCCCCTAAATCTGCAAGCCTGTAGTTTAGTTTTAGACAATAAACTCGGGTTTCACTCATATTTCCGTATAGATATAATAACAATGAAATCTGGAGATTATGTGCATGGATGTTTATTTTCTAAAGGCCCGTCACTTTTTTTAAATGTTATTTATTTTGCTTCTGTTTATATATTTATTTTATTTTATTACGACTTATTTTGCTGTTGCTATCACAGCTAAACAGGACAAAAAATATATAAATTTCGCGTATTTGTATTGTCCGTCTCTGTCCAAGGTGCTGAACTCGGAGCTGTTCGCTTGTAGGGCGAAAATAATTTTCTGACGAAATATTGATTTTTGTTTCTCTTAATTTCGTTAGCCAGATCTAGTTTGACCCTAATTAATCTCCTAATGATTTTATGGGAAGCATGGTGGCAACCAGTGTTAGAAGGTGAGGCGGTTTCTGGATGTAAATCAGGGTCAAGGGGAGATTAAATTTAATTTTTGTGAATGTAAAAAAAAGAAAGGGAAAAAAGGTGTCTTGGCACACCACACGTGCCCATTCGGAGGCAGATATTAGCAATTAAATTTGGCATCGATGATAAACTACAGGTAAGCTGCACATTTCAAGACGTCTTAAAAAGCGAAATAAAATCAAAACATAATTTCTTTCAAAACAAAAACCGATTTTCTGTCGAAGTAGCACATTTATAGAGATCAAACAGCATATTTTTTATATTTTAATATTTGTATTTGTAGCATTTTTATTATTACAGTAACTCCTACTCCTTCTATTAAATTAAAGATTGTAAAAGTCCACCTGCAATGCTCCATAAACTAACATCACGTCAGCATTTGTCTTTAAAGACCTTTAGACTGTTTTTATTCTCGGCCTGTCTTTGTCACACATCTGCATGATGCTACACGACGAGAAAAAACTGTAAAAAAAAAAAAAAAAAAAAAATACTGAGAAAAAACAAGTGACCGGGGCCGGTGACCATGAAGCTAAGACACCCACATATCACAACCTTTGCTGTGGAGAGAAAACATATCGGCCGTGAAATCATCTTACAATAACCGTGTAAAGCGCCGGGTGCCTCATGCGTAATCCCCACACACAATACTGCGTGCAAAACCAAGCTCACTGACTCTGCACCGTGGAGGCGCGGACACGCACATTTTAGAGGGTTTTTATGTACTACTCTTAGTACCTTTGGCATTTCTGTGATTTTAATTTTAATTTCAAGGAGGAGAAATAACTAACTCAGTGAAAATGAGCTTTTTAAAAAAAAATCATTTTATTTTCAGTATTCATTCGTTTATTTTGCGAAGAGTAAGAACAGATAACCTCATCGAAATATTCGGTCCTTATTACAGAAGCTTAAATAACCCAGTGCGCACACTGTTACACACAGAGGAACATTCCGGCACAGACACAGCTTGGACTGGCTTTGTGTCTCCTCGGCGAGGTAATTCTCATAGAAAGGGTAGAAGAAGGCAGTGAAATTATTATGAAAGGGTGGCCTGTGTCTCGGACTTTAAAATGGGAAAGCATTTTAAATATCCAGAGATAAGTGGTGGGTGGGTGAAGCCGAGCGGGATGGCTTTGGAGAGAGAAGTGGTGCTGAAAGGAAAGCAGCACGATTCTTGGCAACGACAGGGCGTTCGCCATCCAGCTTCAGTGTGTGTGTGTGTGTGTGTGTGTGTGTGTGTGTGTGTGTGTGTGTGTGTGTGTGTGTGTGTGTGTGTGTGTGTCAGAGAGGGAGAGAGGGAGAGAGAGTAAACCTCGTGTATTCAGGAGGTCTTCTTCGTATCTTATTATCTGTTGCCACCACTCTTCACCACGTGCAGTCTCATCGCTTTGCTCATTTCACACAGCGGGTGAAACACACTTTCAGACTCTTTTAGCAGGGGTGTTGTTTAGAAGAAGAAACGAAAGGAGGAGGAAGAAGAAGAAGAAGTGCACTCTGGCAGCCGTTGGTTGTCAAGCGATTTGTGTTAATTAAACGTGAAGTAAACACTCTATATCAACGACTAATAGCCTGCAGGTTAAGGTGTGGGTGTAATTGCCCTGAGTCAGCAGAGGACTGTGTGTGTGATATAAAATGCTCAGATATATTCTGCTTTGCTTTTATTCCTGAAATAATCCAGGTTTAAATCCAGGATGCCTGCTGGCTCTGCAGGGGGCTGAGTGGCAGGATCTTTATCCAATCTTTTAATCTGTCTCGATTTATAAAATTAAAGAGCATAAGCCCACCATATAGAGGCTTCCCCCCAGTTGGTGAGGTTTAAATACTTCACTGAACAGGCTGGAAGTCTTAGATGACTCTTGTCATATTTCACCGTTGTTTACGGTTTTTTAGTTGGATGGGAGCAATGTGGAAAAACCTGAAAGATTCTCCTCAGTTTTGTTATATAGTTTTAGCCATTTGTTAACAGATTTCAAACCTTGAATGTGCGTCTTTAAATGTGCATCATGAGTATTTTGAAAACAGAGCAGTCCAGTAATTTCGCTCGACGTTATCCCGTTCTGTTGTGGATTATTTTTGACGTTACCCTATTAGACCCGGTCCATCTGTACATTGTTACTAACTGGCATATTAAATAATTAGGTCAGAACAGAAATGTATCCAGTTGCACTTAGACCTTGATTGCGCGAACAGATTGTAAAAAAGAAAGAAAGAAAAGGTTTGGCACAGATTAACAGGAGAACAGATGTAAGGCATTTCTCGCCTTTGATGCTGGAAGGTAGAAAATACAGTGATACATCGACAATTAACTACTAAATATCTGCCCTTATCCTCAATAATAATAATAATAATAATAATTTCACTTTTATTAGTGCTTAAATTGTAATAAATAAAAGTGTTTCAAGCTATTTAATTCGACCCAGTGATGAGTGTCAGTCAAAGTCAGTGTGTTTGTCTGAAGGGTGATGACAACTGCGCCTGATCTCTTGACCATGCAGACTCTTTTACAAATTAACAGCTGGGAGGCTCCGTGTGAGCCCAGCAACCTGACGCGGGAAGTTAGAGGCCAAACTAGGGAATCATAAATGTTGCCTTTCACCAGAAATTATTTTTCACCCAGGATGAGTGAAAAATATCACAGTTTGCGCTTCTACTCGCAGCCTAACGCAGAATACGTCTTCGCTATCTGAGGCTGCGAAGATTAATTGGACATGCGGGTGGCTGTGAGGCCGTGAAGCAGAATCGTCTACGAGGCGCTTTTGCACCGTGAAATAAAGACTAAGCATGGCACATTAGTGGTGTACGTGACAAACTAAGACTCCCCAATCTCGCTCGGGTTGCTGGAACTAAGCCCCTCTCCCTACAGTCAAATCCCCGCAGCACCGGTTGCGCTCGCCAACCAGTTTCCAGACTGATCGTGGACAGAAGAAGAGGAAGAACAGGAGAAAAAATGTCTTACGCTGCAGTGGCACTCCGAGAATCTCCGGTAAACTCTTCACAGGACTCTCTGTCGGTAGGACCGCCGCACTTTGCATCATCGTGATCCAAACCGGGAGACAAGCGCACGCACATACACCCGCAAAACGGTGGGCGCACTCCCCCGTCCTGTCTCGTGAAGAAAACAAACAATGATGCTGATGTTGTTGGGCCTTCGTGCGATTTGGAGGCTGATCTCTGTCGCTGTCCCGTCAAGCCTCTATTCCTGTTATTTTCCTATTCCCGGGATGGTGTCCGTGCTGTGCCGTGCCGTGTTGAGCTGTTTTGGAGTGGATCAGACAGGCTGCTTGGTCCATTCAGCGCTGCAGGGGCGGCGGGGCCTGACGTCACCACGGCAGAGGCTGACCAGGAGCCAATAGGAGAGCAGGAAGAGGAGGCCCCCCGAAGGCGGAAAGCATCCTCAATAGGTGTACAAGGAAGAAGGAGAAAGGAGAGGAGCAGGGGAGTCTTACATGGTATATGAGAAAGTCTCTGGAGAGGCGGGGCCTCGCTCCCTTGGAGACCATAAATAGCTCACTGCAGTGGCTTCCAGAGGGTCCCCGGGCAAGCAGGGCTCCTTTAGGAGAGGAGGAGAAGGGACCCGTGTTGCCAGGAAAATTAGAGTTCAGCTACATGTCATTTTACTTTAGAAATGATCCACGAAGCAACAAAAAAGAAAGCGTGTCTGCTGTCCACGCAGATTTCCCTGCGGATCGTCCAGACTACAGTGTTGTTTCTTCAGCACCCACGTCTGTGACCAAATGCGATGCAAAAATGTACTTTTATAGAATATCAGCAGGTGGGATGGCGGCATCAGTCAATTCAATGCAAGTAAACGCATTTTTCTTCATTTTTATTATTTGGTGATGGGATTGATTGGCCCTATAAAACACGCATGTAGGCACCATCACACCTGAAAAGTATCCCTGTAATCTGAGGTCTTACTACAGCTAAGGGTGCAAAAAAAAGGGAAAAAATAATAAATGAAGCCACACCACAGAAGGAATATTATTGGACACGTCTGAGTCACATTCACAGCACCGTCACCTGTAGCCCTTTTCCCGGCAGTGGCAGCTCCCGTGCAGCTGCTCTCTCAGTGACAGGTAGGATTAGGAGTCTGGGCGCAGTCCTCCTGACACTGCTCATTTCAAACCCCATCGTCTGAGACGGCTCTCCCGGATAAGATATTCCCTCCGGAGGGCCGCTAGTTCAGGCTAGATGAACTCAATCTTCGCTTCCAATTTACTTCAAGCATGGAAAGAAAAGCACACAGTGGCGCTTTGCCGCCGCGGTCCGCCTCCAAACCAGTGCAGGTTGTTTCCATCAACTCCAAGTCCGTCTGAGGGTCCCAGGTGATTGTTTGCAGCTCGCTCTCTCTCACACACACACTCACACACACCACATGTTCAACTAAAACAAAACCAGTAATTTTTCTTTATTTAAAAAAACAAACAATAAGTGAAAGCATTTCTTTTTAGTTTATTTACCGCTTGGCTATTTTAGGTGAGGTTTTAGTAGTTCAAGCGGTGTATCAATTCGACGCATTTATACCCTTTAATATCCAACACATATTTGAGATCTTCTGTGATGTGACTCAATATTTTGCACTAGTAATAGATCAAAACTAGCGGACTATTTTATTTGGCTTTACAAATATCAGAAAAAGGGGAGAACAAGCTCTGGCAAAGTAAATTTAAGTTGGCGTCATATTATGCATATTTCCCCCTTTTTGCCCATAAACTGATTCTATCTCTGTTTATTATTTATTTTTATTTATTTATTTTATAGCCACCCTATGGTGTTTGGACCCACAATCCCCTTCGCCTGTATGCGTGGCGTTTCCAGATATAATTTAGTAAAATGAAAACGGACATCAGGATGATTAAAAGGCAGGCTGGGATATTACAGGAATTTTATCCGTCCATCCATCCATCAGTAACGTGCACGTGTGGCGAGGGGATCATATGGTCTCACTTTATTTTCATTATACACTTTTCCCCTCAAGATCATTCAATTTATTCGACTATTCAATTACTCTGATTGTTGGAATCGAGGCCCTTTAGCTGTCCTAGAAAACAATGCAGATAAAATGCTCTTAAACTGTCAGCAAAGGGCAACACAATTAGAATAATTGACGGATGCAAATGCAGCGAGAGAGAAGATACGAGCGCGCACATCTGGTTTAGTGGGACAGTAAATGATGAGGTGCGTTTTTCATCTTTAAATGAGATGGCAAAGCAACGTGGCTATTAGTGCACTGAATGATGTGCAAAACAATCCGCATTTGGGGGGTAATCGTTTTACATTTTACAAATATATGTATGCTGCACACAACAGTTAAAAATAATAGTAATTGAAGTGTGACATTACAGAGAAGATATATTTAATGTTATTATCCAAGGGGACTCAAACGGCTTCCGCTCTGTTAAATTCGCCCGGGCAGTCAAATGAAGTTTAATTCGTAAACATTTTTAACACAAATCAGTAAAGATGTTTTTGATTTTTCTGTTTTTATGATACATATTTGGAAGGAGGTTATTTATCTAAATGAATGTAATCTTGAGAGGAGGCAGCTCTCGGACAATAACTCAAACAGAGGGCGACTCCTTTGCCACCGCCGTTGACCCAAGCACCTCTAATTAGATCTAATATTTCAGTGGATGAGTTCATTGTCACCAAAGCGCAAATCTGCGATTCACAGATCCATCTTAGTGAGAGCAGAGAGTCAGGATATCTTATGTGATCAGGCTTTCATGGAGCGCGATTCATTTGTGGGATGAAAACCTGCAGCAGGCCTGGTTCATAACGAGCCACAACAGAAAAAGCTTCATCTGAGTGTTTATTATTTTTGTGCGTTTAAATCTATTATTTGAATGTTAGTCACACAAACCAACGTGGATGTCAGCTGAGCACATTTGCCATGCAATGGTGATAACACGGTTCAGAGCACAGATTCAGCCTGGGTACGATCAAATTCATGCAGAGACTGCGAGCAGAACAAATGGCTTCCCTTCGTGCAACACTTACACTTTAGAAGTGCGTAAATGTATTCTCGACTTCCAAGACGAATTACAGCCCAGCGCATCGCGCAGACCTACCTGGCAGTCTGTCTCCTCTCTGCTCTCCCTCCTCCTCCTCGCCTTCTTCTTCTCCTCCTCCATACCGCCGAGGCTCGTTTCAGCGGGGTGAGCCAGAGCTCGCAGGGAAACTGCAGTAGTCAGTCCACACTTTCTCCGCCGTCCACCCGCAAAACAACATCAGGTAGCAGTGGCACCGTGTCCCCACGCATTTGGTCCGAAAGCAGGAAAGGAACAGAGAGAGGGAGAGAGGCAGAAAGCGAGGGGGGAACCTTAGGAGAGAGCTCGGAGGAGAAAATTAAATTGCACTTGGGGGGCAAATTCTATTAGGGAATAGTTATTGTCTCCTGACAGCTCCTGTCCATTTGGGTAATTAGTAGAAGAGATTGGTTGAACAAACGAAATCTATTCCCGTCAGAAATGATATTTTCCAATTCCCTGATTGAACCTGACCCTGTCCTGCTAAGACGAGGCGGTAATAGGCTCATTTGACTCGAATAACTACAACAGTTTAAGCCAAGCCTGCCCGAAGAAGGATTTCATTTGGATTTTGCTTTATTTTCACGACACACTGATAAGATTTAATTGAAACACTATTAATATTATTTATTTATGACAAGATAAAGACACACAAACAGGAGAATTCAGCAGGATCCCCCTTTAACTGAAAGCCCTTTAAATTATCCAGTTTCAATTATAAGTCCTGTGATGCACTGGCACCTGCCCAAGGTGCTGCCCTGTCTGAATGCTGCCCGTCGTGCTGGAATAGACTCCCGACCCTCACGAACTTCATTAGATAAGCGTGGAAAGCAAATGGATATAAGGATGAATGAAAGCTGAGACCTGAAGCTTAAGCTGCTCTTGCAAACCAGAGCGCAAAAAATAATCTGGATTCAGGTGAAACCTCCTGATGCAAAAATGATGTTAATGTGTGATTAGCAGAAGCCCAGAGCTGCAAAAACACATTAACAGCTCCTATAAGATTACAGTTCCTCTGCAGCTCCTGTTGTTTTCTCTGCATTCTCAGATTTAAAATAGGCATTCTGAATTAGTTCGCATTTTCACCGTTCATGGGGCACACGCAGCTAATGCATAGCATTTAAAATACAAGACTGATTTTGACCAACATTATTGAATGAAACCATATTGTTTTTTTAATTTCAGCAAATAAAACCCAAAACCAAATAAAATGCATTTACTCCAGTGTTGTATTTTGATATTTCTATTTAAGATAACTATTAAAATCAGATTATTTTACTGCAGATGACTGATCATAACAAACTACTCAGTAAAAATGTGTGAAGGCCCGCATCCACAACCTAAAGATTTCCACAGAAAGCCTGTGTTGCGTCTTTGATGCTCGGTGAAAGGAGCAGTGTTGGCTGAGTGAGTGAAAGCGGTGTGACTGACAAGTGTTGGCTCTTCTCCAACTTCATTATCCAAGCACTTCCTGTAAGCTATATGCTAACTCTGGAGGGGAAGGGGTGGGGGTAAAACAAGAGCAGAGCCCCGTTTCCCAAAATCATCTATAAGGTAGTTTCATTGTAAAGAAGTACAATGGGAACAAGATGATCCAGGCTTAACAATGTTTTTGGGAAACTGAGCCCAGATCAGCAGAAGTGAAGGTCGGGGTTGTGTTGTAATGAAATGATGCGGAGACGTGAACTCACAATTTTAAGTCCTGAAAGTTAAATTATGAGATTAAACAAGCATGAAGCAGTGAAAGTGATTATATTGGAGGAATTTAAAAATAGTTACTTAAAATGATATAAAACCCATGTCTGCATTATTAATGTGGAAGGAATCACAAATGAATTCGAATAAGACAAACGCATCAACCTGGGTGTATTCCACAGTTTCATCTGGTGTAACTCTGGTTGGCTGGTTGTGCTGGGTGTGCTGGGTGTGCTGGGTGTGCTGGGTGTGCTGGTTCGGGGTCTTTGGGAGCAAAACAAAAACTTATAATCTGTGCTCATTCATCAGCCATTAATTTGAGTGAACTGACAGAAGTAGAAGTTATTGCATAAACTGAAAACCTTGGTACAGGCTGCATGAACACTCACTGAGATGTTTGCAGATCTCGGCAGATGAGCGTCCACATGAAAGGGGGAGGGACTGCAGCAGAGAAATGAGATGGGTCTGACCCTGCGTGACTCCTGCGTTTAAAAGGCTGCATGTTTAAAACCCGAAAGGGGATCTGGCTTAGTTAGGATGCAATGTATACCAATACCATATATTAACCTCTTTTTCATAATTTATTCACCCCCACACCACCCCCACACCCACATTCTCCCTCTACCCACAGCAGGAAGCTTTATAGTATTATTAAAGTCAGAAAGAGAGATGACAGAAAAATGCATCAAGCCCCTCCTGCATTTTAATATCAATACCGGCGGGGTAATAAACATCGAGGCAGAGAGCGTACAGGAGACGAGTGACTATAAAACTCTGCATTGTCTAATTTATGGAAGACAGCAACAGGGCAGGAAGGTGAGGTTTTTACCCTTCAGTCAGTGGTTTCATAACGCAACTTTGTCTCAGTTCAAAGCATCAGTTTTAGACAAAACACACAAAAAAGTTTAGAAGAAAGTAATCAGCTCGTGTTACTCCAAGAAGATATACGGTGACAAGGTATGCAGGCAAAGCTCCGCCATGACGGTGTCACCTTAAGCTCAATTTGCTGTTTGTATGGTTGCTTTTATAAGCATTTGTCGTCTTTGACCTTGAAAACAAACAGATTTGTAACAAGGTCAATCGGCAACATTGTAAACTGAACAAACGGATGTTTTCAGATGTTGGTGGACTGTGGAAACCTTCCTGTAACACAAGTCAAAGAAAAACATGTAGATGAGTGAAAACACATCAACTGCAGCTTAATCTGTAGGGATTTATGTTTCCTTCCAGTCTGCGTGCGAAAGAACTGATTATTTCTGAGCCTTCTTATAATGCGATTTATTCTTTTCAGTGTTAAATATGAAACTCGAGGATAGGCAACATGGACAAACACTAACAGCTGGAGTAATCCACTGATGAGGCCAAACTACTATCATGTCTGTCCATCACATATGAATATTAAACTGCAGCTGCTATATGGATGGTTTTCAATAACCATAACTAACACTCACTAATTAGTGACATACCAGACATTTTGATCACCAAGTTAGCCAACCTGGGGCTCCTGCCATCCACCTGCTCTTGGATAAAGGACTTCCTGGTCAACAGACCCCAGCGGGTGAAACTGGGTCCTCGCCTTTCGTCCCCTCGCACTCTCAGCACCGGCTCTGCCCGGGGCTGTGTACTAAGCCCACTACTCTACTCCCTCTACACATATGACTGCAGTCCCGCCCACCCAGAGAACATCATTGTCAAATTTGCTGATGACACAACAGTGATGGGGCTGATCACAGAGGGAAATGAGGCAGCTTATAAATAATTTCCCCTACAGATCAATAAAGTATTCTGATTCTTACAGAGATGAGGTCCTGAGACTGGGTGAATGGTGTGCATCAAACAACCTGGTACTTAACATCACCAAGACCAAGGAACTCATCCGGGACTTCAGGCTGTGCCCCCCTGCACATCAACAGAGAATGTGTAGAGCGAGTGGAGTCCTTCAAATTCCTTGGCCCACATCTCTGCAGACCTCTCCTGGGCAGCTAACACCACGGCCCTAGTCAAGAAAGCCCAGAAGCGGCTACACTTCCTATGGGTGCTCAGGAAGGAGCAACTAAACACCTCGCTGCTGATGACCTTCTACAGATCCACCATCCACAAAAAATCATCGGCCGCCCCCTGCCCTCCTTGTCTGCCGTCTACAACTCCCGTTGTCTTAGTAGGGCCAGAAACATTTTAAAGGACACTACCCACCCCGGCTTTTCAACCTAATGCCGTCTGGCAGGTGCTGCAGATCCATACGGGCCAGAACAGACTCAGGGACAGCTTCTTCCCAAAAGCCATCACCGTACTCGACTCAACTGTACAAAAGTAATCTGCACTGAAATATCATCAATTCCCTGCCTGTCTGTCACTGTGTCAGCACTGTACTGTGTATTTATATTTATAGTAGTGTATAGTTATATTATTGTATAGTTTTTATAATGTGCTATAAGCATGTGTGCACTTATATAGAGCTGTTTCCAATTTCATTATACTATGTATAATGACAATAAAGGCTTTCAATTCAATGCAACTATATTCATACTGTCACATAACTGACATTTTGTGGTTTGTGTGAATTCGATTAAACGGTGTAAAAAGCGCAAACAGCTCCGAATGTGTCCTAATTTAGATTTGAAGCCTCTGTCCTCGGTGTGAACTGCTCACCTCAGCCTTGGCAAAGCTGCAGACAGATATTACACTGCTGCCAACTTCCTCATTAACCATCATTAGTCTGAACCAGCATAACACTTGCAGCTCACTGAAGCTCAAGACACCTGATAAAGGGCTTGTGTAGCGTGAGCAGCACACAGCGTGGCTGACGCCAATCCTCTAACAAACACAGGTAAACGTTTAAACAGATTAACTGATCGGACGTGCGGGAAAAGTGCTCGAGAAAAACAACGTTTCCAAGATTTTCATGATGTGCAAAAAGTTTAAGGATACATAATTCCTGCTTCACTCTGATGGTCTTCCATCCCAGCTGATATTTTAAAAAGTGTCACGGTGCACTGGATAAAAGGCATAAATAAACAACTTAAGGAAGGTTTCTTGTGATGAACTGCTTTTCTCGATCCATTCTGGCAATCATAATGTGTCATTGAGGATCTCATTGAAAGTACCTGAGAGTTTGATTAAGTCACACAACCACAGCTGCTCAGCTGTGATGCTCTTCTGCTTTAATGTGGGGCTATTAATCACCCTATTTTGTGTGTGTGTGTGTGTGTGTGTGTGTGTGTGTGTGTGTGTGTGTGTGTGTGTGAGAGAGAGAGAGAGAAATTGACTGCCTCAACTCACCTATGTCATCATCAAAACTGCAAAGGCTGAACACATGGTTTGGATGAAGGGATAGAACGGGCTATAGGATAAGATCAGAGGTTTTATCCACGTATGCTTTGGTGACAGGTTGGAAGGTGGAGGTAAGGGGCAGGAGTCGAGGGAATTCAAGCCGGCGTTCCAGGAAACACAAAGCTCAAGATCAAGCTTTGGTTGTCCTTCAGCTGTGCTCGTTGTGATCTCAACATCAAACCCTCATCCATCCATCCATTTATCCCCCCCCCCCCATAGTACTCCTTTCATCCACCCCTTATCCCATCATGTTACCGCCCCTGAGGGTCTGCCGTTGCCCTTCCTTAGCAGAGCCCACCTCCAAGTGTGTGTGTGTGAGGATGGAAGAAGCCTCATGAAAGCCGATTGCATTTTAATAAAGTTTATTATCTGCTGGGAGCTAATCCTCAAGGGTAATCTCTCCTCTCTAGTCCTAAAGGAAAGCTGGATTACTCACTTGCTATAATCCCAATGAAATTGTTAGGATTTAGCTTGCGCTGCACAGCAGATGGCAACAGGCTTTTTCCTTCAACCTTGCATGGTTTAACCCCCATTTCTACATGTAACACCCTTCTCCTTCTCGCCATGTCCTGATTGTTTTTTGTTTTGACCTAGAACAACAGGAAGTCACTTTCAAACCTGTAACAAAAACATATTTCGACATTAAAGACAACACAGACGCCATTTACGCGTTTAACACGACCGCCACGTCAGAACAAGGAAACAAAAGACGAAAATCGTTATCAAAAATAATTTTATTGATTCAGACCAATGCAAATGGAAACATCGAAGAAGAGCAGCGCTTCATCATTCATGGACCCCAGCCAAGAAAACAAAAACACAACAAATCCCGATTAATCCAAATCCTCGTCCAGTGTGAACATATCCCTCACTCCACTTCAAGAACCAGAGTGGCTATTACGTGGACTCAGTGTGATGTAATATTCAAAGACATCATGTCAAGCTCAAGTGTAATTTGGACCAATGCAGCTCATCTGCTTCTCTCTGGTCGAGTCACAGTTTTCAGCAATAATTTAAGATTCAACACGACTGCTCTGAATCACTCAAAGTTCATTTAACCGTTAGTGCGTTAAAATTCACAAAATTGAGACTGAAATGAAAAAGCAACCAAAACAAACGTAATGTGACTAAATTCTCAGCCACACAACACCGTTAAGGAGGGAATCTGACAGAAAACAGTAACAAAAGCAGTAAATTTAAAAATCCACCAAAAGTGAAAGAAAACCAAACACAGCTGAAACTTATTAGACCACCCAGTACAGCTTTATGCCATAACTAACAGTATTAGTCATTTCCAAAATCATCTGTGTTTCTGTTAATCCGCCAGTTTGTGCAAGCTCTTGAATCAAAATGATATTGGTCCAGTCTTCCTCCCATCACCCCCAGTCAGTCTCTCGTCTCTCAGCCAGGCTCTGCCTGGGGGTTTGTTCCTGTTAAAGGGGAGTTTTTCCTTCCCACTGTCACCCATGTGCCTGCTCAGAGGGGGTTTATCTGATAGGTGGGGTTCTCTCTGTACTATTGTAGAGTCTTTACCTTTATAATATCAAGCACCTTGAAGTGACTTGTGATTTGGTGCTATATAAATAAAAATGAACTGAAAATAAACTCATTGTCATGTGAATTTTCAGATTTACCATTTTACAAACAAAAATACAATAATAAGATAATAAAGCACATTTTCCAATCAAGACACCAAATTAAAGCTATTTGCTTGAATTCCTGCAGAAAAAAAAAATGTTTTGGTGGTTTGATGCTTTACCCGATTAATTTCTGACTCCTCTCTGAGTCCACTGTCGGCTCAAATTTGGGATTAAAAATGTGAATTTAGTTTATTTTGCCTAATAAATGACAGCTGTTAGCTATAAACAAGCTTTTTGACACATTTCTAAAACATTTGTGTTTTCTTGTTTTTGATGACAGGTGATCTAATACATTTTAAGCGCTGTATCTATATCACACAGATTACAGAAAACATTTCAGCTCATACTGGGGTTTAAAGTGGTGACAAAAACTGATTTTCCTTTATTTCATGTAAATATACATCTAAACACACATTTTTCCCACAGTCAGTGTGGAAAGAATGAAATTCCCTGCAGGCTGCACGGAAAATAAAATCATGACTGTCCTGATTTTTTTAAAGTAACTTGCTAACTTTCCCTTCTCCTCGTCTGTAGTTGGACAGAAAATAGTGAAATTCACAGTAAAATGTGTCACTGCAGGTAACATTTAACTGGACAGTTATGGAGGGCAGCATTTTATATTTGTGTGCAGTGCGCTCAAACTTAGGAGACATTAACCAAATGAATGTTAATCTTTGTTATGACTCAGGTGAAATTAGCACACATGTTGGCTCAGGGGACGGAGATTTTAGGCCGCCGTCGTCTGAGGCGGTTTTTGAAGAAAAGGTACATGACCAGAAGACACAGGGAGGACAGGAAATAAAGGAAGACACACAAGCTGATGTCCACTTTCGAGAAGCCAATGGTCAACACGGACATCAAGCGTCCCTTGTGCCTCAGCTCAGCCTCCTGACCAAAGTACTGGCCCGCCACGTCTCGCTTCTGCAGCCGCTTCCTTGGCCGCGCAAAATCCAGATCAAAGCCTGCATCCACTGGTTCCAGACCCACCATCCCCAACCCTGCGCCCAGCTCCATGCCGAGCCCAAACACCGGCCCGGGCTCCTGCTCTTCCTTTCTCTGCAGGCTGCGTCGTTTGACTCGGGTGGAGGTAGCCATCTGCAGCGCCTTGGCCTTGTAGTGCTGGTTGACAAACGAGTCGAGATCCACAATGTCCTCCTGCGGGTCTCTCCTCATTCTCACAAAGCTCGGTCTCCTCCGAGCCTGCTGCCGGCCACGACCCAGCTCCATTTCAGGCTTGGCCCAAGGCGTTGGCTCAGACGATCTTCCTACCATGTCACCTGCTAGTCCATCCTCTTCATCTTCCTCTTCTTCCTCTGCTGCCGTTTCATCCTGTGGGCCTTCTTCCTCTTCCTCCACCTCCCCGCCTTTTTCTTCCTCTTCCTCCTGCTCAGTGGATTCTGTTTCCAGAGGATGTTTTCTGAAGTCCAAGGCCTCCCTGGCTCTTCTCTCTGCGTGTCTCTCAGCTATGTGAACGACCTGCTGGCTGGCATGTTTCTCCCTCTGTTTTTCCAAAATCTGGCTTTCACTCTCCAGGTAGTCTGATGGGAAAAGGGCAACAAACCCAAAACAAATAAAACATACGTGGTTCTCCCTTCACCAACTTTCCAAAAATTACACTCTATGAATCTAGGACCAAATCTTCTCAGAATCTTAAGATACACAGTTACTAGTTTACACTTAGAAATTTAGCAGTCAGTCATTAAATGCATTAAAAATTCAATTAGTAAACAATGCTGCTTCATATATGTGTAACAGGCATCCAGGTATTGATGAACAGGTACAACATTTTTTTTTAAATTTATGTTTGGATCAGTCTAATTTTGACCTCCCAGTTTGGTAAAGTTCTTGAAGTTCATAAAATGTTTTCAGTCAAACCTGTGAGGATTCTGTCGGAGGAGAAGTAGGTCAACAGGAACTTGAGAACCTCCGTCAGGTTCCACGTGTGCTCCCCGTTGTCCTTTACTGCATGGCAGGCTGAACACATGTCGGGCGGAGGCCACTGGATCTTTGGAAATTGAGGATCTTCACTCAAAGCACCTGCAAAAGAAACAGGGTGAGCAGATCGCACAGTGGAGTTTTAAGCACTTTGTAACTGGGAGAATATCAAACGTGCAACAACAGACAGGAAATCAGGATCAACTATCACTGCAGGTTACATGCACCTCACTGTCAGAGGCCTCAGAAGTAAACTTCACATCTTCCTTCTACATTTATGACCATTTCATTCAGAAAGATGTCCTACACTTTATTACTGATATCCTTTTTATCCCTTTTACAACAAAGAGAAATCTTACAGTTAACGTTACAATGTTACCATGAAAACAGACTTTTTCTGTATTCACACTGCTGACAGAACTCAAGCATTCAAGAGATTTTTAAAAAACAAATGCAGACTGTCTCAGTGGCTTCTTTCACAGCCTCAGAGTCACACTAACAAACTCAGAGACTGTCTGTGGCAGATGAAGAGACTTCCAGTCAGATGCTTCTTCTATTGTTGGTGCACGCTGACAGCAGGATGTAAGTGCTTTGAGGACTGGATGCAATCTGCGCTGAACCCATTTGATCTTGTCACAGTGCTCGTAAAAACTAAGTGCCTATATGCATATGTGTATGTATGTATTTAAGAGTGTATATGTAAATCATCTGTCTGGGTGTGTGTGCATGTAATCTATGGATTGATACTTTTGTGTGCACTTGTGTGCGCGCTCGTATGACAGGGTCTAACAATGATCAATGGGCTTCTGGGATGTCCCAGTGGGAGGGATGGTGAGATAATAGATGTGGCCAAAGTGGACAGCATCCCCACTCATACGCGCACCCACCCGCCCACTCACACACACACACACACCCACCCTGTTTTCAGGCACCTTGGTGCTCTGAACCACCTGTCTTGTCCCTTTACACCCCTTTGAAAGCAAAGTCCAATCTCCAAATTGAACATGAGACCAAGAGCAGCCTCAGCGGGGAGCTGCCCTTCTAATGAATTAGAAACTTTCTCCTTTAACGTGTTTTCTTTTATGTAGCCGCTGCCCACCAACGCCGCTCATCGCTCACACATCACTCGGCCTTTGTATGCTTGCAAACACACTGGCAGAAGACACGTACACCCACACACAGGGCAGCATCTAGTAATGAATTGCTTGTTGTCACCAGCAGGCCATTGTGTGTCTGAGTGTGTGTGTTGGTTTGTGTTGGAGAAAAGAAGGGCGGGGGGGGGGGGGGGGGGGGGGGTGCAGAGCAGCAGGTCTGTCACTTTACAGGACTGTCAATTTACATCCTCCTGCACCACCTCTACTCCCCCTTCTCTCCACTGCTCAAGATTAATCTCAGTCATATGCATGGGTGTTTGTACTCTGCATACAGTACTTTACATAAAGGATACATCAATTTTACTGTGTGCTGAATGGGTGGCTGTGTGTGAGTGAGAGTGAAGGGGGGCTTTTAAACATTTCAGCAGGTGAGGGTGCACGTGCACATACATCCAGTATGCCTTGCATCTCCTTCCTTAGTCTAATCAGCTCGCCACGTTTGCAGCCAGGGTGACTTTAGCCACAGTAGCCATATCCAGATTGCCACAATAGCCCGTCACAGAGATGTCATCACTGCCAGGCATACATATTCATCAGGTATAAATATGTATTGTTCAGCACGTCAAACTAGCTTCTTCAGCAATAATCCTGCAACCACACATGCTATGCCAGCAGCATGGGGTGCAGGGGTGTGAGTGAAGGGGGCTAATAGTCAAGATTTCATGCTTATTTAAATAATTGGAGAGGAAAAACTCATTTAGGGATTGTTTATTGTATTATCAGAGTTTCTGCTGGGGTTGGATAATAAATATCAATATTTGTTGTTTTAATTGAAAAGTGTGAACATGTAGCCCGATTCATTCAGGTGACACGTGCTCTTTATGGAACTACTTTCTGACTTTTGCTAATTTTAGATCATTTCATAGCAAAGTTTTTATGCAATCTATACTTTTATTATGAAATTCTCTCATTACCTGGAAAGATTTTATTGGACAAATATTTTTGGGAAAAGAAAATGTTGCTGAAAAAGTTTAACTTGACATTTTTATTTATTATTTGCTTATTTGTTTGCAATAGCTGCATGTTTGAGTTAGTTTATGCTATTTAACCAAGCTGTCGTCCTGTGTGTGTGCGCGTTATGTTTACTGGGACGTGCACAACAAGCAGATTCTGATTTGACATGCACTTGTGATTTTGTTTAAAGGGTCACATTTACAGCAAACCTCAGTAGTATTGATGCATCTTGAATAGATTGTGTGGATCAAGAAAAAGCAAACGCGAAAACACCAACGTTTCAGATAAAGGACGTAGCTGTGCTCGCACAATGTCCGGGTAACGACGCGTTAACAAAAACAGAAACTACACAGAAGCAATAGTGATGGTTTTAATAAATCAGGAACATTTTTATGCATCATTCGTTGTTTGTTTTTTTCTCCATTTGATCTTACTGTTAAAAAAAAAAAAGTGCGATATAATTTTAGGGGAACCATCCACAACCAACAAAAACATCCCAGGAGGCAGCTGGAGCCGCTGCAGCAGCAGTGCTCTTCCATCTGTAGAAATGTGAATCAGTCTCAGCTGTTGACAAGCAGCAACAGGACTGAGCTGCCACCAGTCTTAATTCTGCCCGTGCAAGAAGGCCGAGGGCCCTGGGGCCTCTTTGTTGCCAGCTAAATTAATTGTTGGGCTGCTTTACAAATAGCTGCTCTTTCATGCATGGCTGCTTCTGAAAGGAGGGGCGGGGAGGCCTGCTAAAGAGCTCCACTTTAGGCAAAGAGGAGGGGAGGGGTTGAGTGGATGGAGCGCGCTTTCCTCGGGGAGACGCCGCCACTCACTGCAGCAAACGCTGCCAAACCCTCGGCTCCTCCCTCGCTCTCCCCTCCTGATTCGCCCGATTTAACCTCAGTGCCCCCCCCCCCGGCGACAACTTAACCCATACAGAGGAAAAAGGGGAGGAAAAAAAAGGAAGTGTGTGTGGCTTGTGTCATGGTGTTTGCCACCTGCTGTCGCACATTACCCTGGGAATTGTACGCAAAGCGGGCCGGCTCCTGGGGGACGCATCCTGTGAGGATGCTGCACTATTACTTGTCAAGCAGAGGATATGAGTCCCAGGGGATGGTGAGTGGAAAGAGTGTAAGCTACAGAAGAGGAAAGATGGATGCATGAAGGGGGAGGTTAGATGGTGTTTAACTGTCTGAGGAGCCGCGGGGACGGTGTACTGCTGGCCTCTGCTGCTGAGGACACAAGCTGTCCCTCAGATAGAAGAGGGGGCAGTCACAGAAACACAAACAAAAGGCAGTGATTTAACAAAGTAGGCTGTTAATGACCACGCCACGCCTAATAAAATCAGGAACACAGAAGAGGGAGGAGAGACACTCTGTTTAGCACTCGTGCCTGATGTGAAGAGAGGAATTTGCTGACAGAGCACAGCGAAAACTAAAAGATTATATTTAGAAAGCTGAACCGAGAAGGACGGACAAACCTGGAAATACAGAGAAAGTTATGTTCAACATTAGATATGGATTTGATTTGTAGGCAGCAGTAAAAGATATTACTTGATTAAGCAGAATATAAAACCATAATCTGGCATGGATTATGAATGAGGAAGGGCCATTCAGACAACAGTGGGGGTACACTGGGTGTGAGAGAATGGAGATGGCGGGGGGGGGGGGGGGGGGGGTCAGGAGAAAATGGGCGAGGTGGAAGCAGATGATACTTGGAGGGCTAAGACGTGGTGACAGCTGGTGTCTGATCTGAGGATCCATCCTTCCTCCCCTCAGCCTCTTTTAGTCATATTACAGAGACTAACTGGACACACACACACACACACACACACACACACACAAAGAAAGAGGCAAGTATGTGATGGGAAAAGTGGGATGGAGTAAAGTAAAGTTTAAAAGAGACTTACTTTGATCTAACGTACATTATTGCAGAAGCAGCAACAAACCATCAATTTATTTTTAATCACTGATTAATCCATGTGGTCCAGTAATGAAAAATGCAAATATAATGCAACAAGTGCAACATCTTAAATGTGCTTGTTTGTCAGATAAACCACCTGAACGTTTCATTTGATCATCTCCATATTTAAACAAATAAACTGGTTTTTCAGTTTTTCACACACATCTCTTAAACATTACGTCACCAGTTTAAACACTGGTGGCTTGGACTGCATTTCTCATCTTTTTTTAAATTGTGGGTTTCATACAACTTGGCTTTCTGTTAGTTTATCTAATATTTGTGAAACCATGCTCGCTTTGGCGTGACTCACACTTTTATTTAAAGCCGTGTTACTGTATGTTAGTTTAAGTTAGTTCCACGATAGAAGATCAGAGACATTTTAACATCATTAAAGTTTGAGAGCTGAAAGAGGGAAAAGAAGATTCTACAAAGAAGCGACAGATGACCGAGCCAACTCCTACCTGCCAGTCTGTTGTTGACCACGTTGTGTCTGGACCACAACCACAAGACTGCTGTGGGCAGTGATGTCACCTGCTCCAGAGTCTCTGCTGCCATGTTCTCAAAGTGTCCCGCACACTCCCTGCAGCCAAAGAAGTTGTGGACGTAGCTTCTCATCGCACGCAGCACCTCTTGAGGATCTGAAGGGGAAAAGCAGAGCAGTGCACAATCCTTTAAAATACATTACAATACGTTTAAATTCAACTTTACTGTAGCAATTATTAAATCTGTCATTTCCTCCAAAGTCGCTCACAATCACAGGCACATCTAAATGAGGTCACAGCTGCAGAAACGCACCTGAGCATGCACCTCCTGAAGGTGTGCCAGTGGCAGCGAGGATCCAGCACCCGCTGGATTCCCACGATTACGTAGGAGTCACCCAGAGCTGGGTTAACCCCCATATTGAGATGAATGGGATAATGCAATCTGGAGATTAAAGGCCGTTAACGCTCTATGTGAATGGTGGCCCGGCTGTTGTCTCAGGACTCCAGCAGCCCGCAAACATATTTCCCTTTAGCCGTTTGCTTTTGTCCTCAGCTTAGCAGATCCTTTAGATGTTCACCAATCAGCTGGTGAGAGCACGGACAGGAGCTTTCAGCCCTTTATGAAAATAACGATAGGCCTGTGGAACACACCTTTGATACTGTACGGGTGTATGCAGATATGGATAAATGATGTTTTCTCTGATAGTCAGAAGTGTGTGTTAGTGTGTATGCATGCCTTTTAAGCCGTGGTGGTCTGCGGTGGGCCAGATGGACACCATTTTTGGCCAGTCCATCTGCAGGTCACATAATGGTCTGTAAACCTGGGGATTAACCTCGGTGTGGATGCATCTGAGTGTGCCTGTCTCTGTGCGTACTGAAGGGAGATTAACGTCCCTGCCAGGAGCGGAGCCTCTGGTCATCTGCCTCCTATTTTTATTAACCACTCACATTCCACTAATCTACAATAATCCCTTTTCACACAAACAATTAGGCTCAATTTGAACTGTTAAAAATAAAAATATAAACTAACTCATCAGATCAGGTCACTGTTGGGAAGGAAAAAGGCCAAACCAGAGCTCATGTGTTTACAAAGCTCTCTCATCCTCAGTCTTCCACTGCATTTTTGACCTCTCAATGACCTTTTAATTCATTGCAACACAAACTACCTGAGCCTTTGCTGTTAGCTTGAACAGTAAGAACATGGAAGAGAGTCCACACCCCACAGGGATAACGTCTGAAGTGGGGCTGTGAACCCTGGCAGCCCACCCACCTCACGCCGTCTGGCAGCGTCGAGTTTGGAGACTGAGAGAAACAAAAAGAAAAACAGAAGAAAAATCAAATTACCGGTAAATGTGAAGTAAGGACAGGAAACAAACAAGCTAAATAAAGGAAATCACATTTTCTTTCTCGTTGTTTTAAAATAAAGCAGGAGGCCTAATTTATCATAAACCTGCACGCTGACCTCTTACTCCAGTGAACATGAGATCTGCTGCATCTCTGCACAAACCCCTGCAAACACCTCTGCACAGGCCCGACTCTGCAGATGAAAACGGACCTGAACAAATGATTACTTAACCTCGTGTGGTCACTAGAGCTTCTTGGCAAACGCTATTCAGCTTTTTAGGAAATGTGGGGGGGTTTTCAACAAAAGGGAGACCCATTTTATGATTCTTCAAAGGAAAGAAAGTGTCTTAGTGTTCAGAGAAGCTGGAAAGTATCACCAGGCTTTTCCTCTAAATGAGACAAAACTCTAAAAGTAAAGAGTCTCTCCAGTATCTCGAGATCCGTTCAACTTAATGAAAGCAGCTGCGTGGAGTTTCCTGATCAATGAGAAGTCAATCTCAGGTTAATGGCTCAGCCCTCCACTAATGAACAGAAGCTATCTGCATCTCTAACCACGAGCCACAGTTGAATTCAACAACATATTTTCTCTGACATAAAGTCGTTGCGCTCATTGCACTGCACTGCCATCACTGGCTTGATTGACAGGGTTACTCAGATGTCAATAGTAAAGATTTGGTGCAGAGTCCATTTCCTCCGAGGCGGAGTCTATTCATACCTTCCCATTGATTCATTGATCCATTGATTTGCCTGCTAAAAGCTAATGATGTAAGTAAGTGAGTCTTTCAATTTGTGAGCGGCTGTACGCCGGAGGCACGCGGGCTTCATTCCAAAGACAACAGCACATAGATTTCCAGCTGCATGCGCTAGCACAGAGACAAGCGCAAAGCAGATACGGCAACATCTGGATGCTCATCTTTAAGAGTATTTTTCTACCCCTAAACTTGTACAGAAGGTTTTTTTTAAGATGTATTTTTATGCCCATTTTGGCATTTCTTTGACAAATTATTGTGCTGCCTCTGAACTGATTAAGTGTCCAGACTGACAAGTGACCTTGTGGCTAAGCAGAACGACGAGGCTACTCCCAGCCAGACGCTCGGACATCAGTCTGGGTGTATTTTGTGATGACCTGCCCTCTGTTCTCCCTGCAGCTGCTCATCTGTCTGCTACTCTCTCCTCTCCCTTCCTTCCATTGGCTGCTTTGGCTCTGTTTGCATTTATGTACTTTCTAAATGTAGTCTGCAAACTACAAACTATTTTTGAAACCAGTGAATGCCACAGACATAAACAACGTTACTACAAATGATTCGGATGCACCAAATTCATTTTAATAATAATAATAATAATAATAATGTATAATTTGTCCCTGTCAGAGCTCACCTGTGCATCATTTTCCAGTTTTTCTTTAAATGCTTCGTATGAAATGCGATCTCCAGTCTGCTTCTGTAGCCAGGAGTTTAAATCCTTCAGCAGGTTCGTCACTATAGGACGGCCTGGGAAGTACTAAGGAAGAACAAAGCACAACATATTCATGGTTCGCAATACAAACAAGGAAAACATCTCTACTGAGTTCCAGTAAACAGACTAGAAAATGAAGGGCATTTTGGGGAACAGTTGCAGGTTCGAATCCATCGATTCATTACTGGAATAAGAGACATATCACCAGTGTTGGTCAAGTTACTTAAAAAGTAATCAGTAACTAATTACTGATTACTTCCCCCAAAAAAGTAATCCCGTTACTTTACTGATTACTTATTTTCAAAAGTAATTAATTACTTAGTTACTTTTTAAAAACACAATTTACAACCTGAGTAGGTGATAAAGTGATAGATCTTTCAGCCCAATTCTACTTTTTCTGCATAATCCATCATACAAAATGTAATCAGATGGAAAAGTCTCTTTTTAAAACTTGTTTTATTAGTTTTAATCTTTTAACTTTATGCATCAAGCAAAAATTTAATTATCTGCAACATTCTCTGACTGGAAGAAATTAGTTTAACATTTAAACCTATTTTCTGCACATTCCAGCACATAAAATAAAATATTTTTTGTGTTTACACTCAGTCCTTCAAATAGATGCAAGTAAAACACAGCAGAAAATAAATAAAGTCAAAGACTCAGCGGTCCTGTTGCTCTATTTTCACCTGTAAAGCAGGAGTGGGGTAGGCGGAGGGTTACCCTGGTGCAGGTGTGCCGCGGTCAGTGGAAGAATCCGCGAGTTTCTCTGTGAGTTTCCCATTACGTCGTAGCTACTCGGTGCTTGTTTGGAAGTTTAGGGGTTTTTTCACTGTAAAAAGAAGTTTTCTTCCCACGCACAGCGGACACTAATGTTTTTGTCCCTTTTTATGGAATCAAACTCAAAGTAAGGTCAGTGCTTCCACGCTTTAAACGCTGCACGCTCATACTCTCTCCTGCACTCGATATGTGATCCATTGTTGATCTGCACACAGCTGTTGTCACGAACGTCACACTCGCTTACGTCACTGTCATGAGACATTCTCGCAAAAAAATCAGTTTTAGTAACGCAGTAACGCAGCGTTCCTACGGGAAAGTAACGGTAATCTAATTACCGTTTTTGCAATAGTAATCCCTTACTTTACTCGTTACTTGAAGAAAAGTAATCCGATTACAGTAACGCGTTACCGCCCATCTCTGCTCCTCACTCAGGCTGTCACTGTATATGTAGTTCGAGAACCAGAAATCTCATTTCATGCATGTCACTCACTCTAATTACATTTGTGTTGTTAGACTGCAGTGTAGATTACATTAATGCAATAATGATTCCAGCTGAAATTTAATTGCTTGCACAAAGTTTCTACAACTAATTTAATTCATGTTATGAGCTAAACATGCAACTTAAACTAGAGCCAGAAGAATCCATCTTAAATGAAACATTTGTTTGTATCCATTACATCCAATTCAGCCTGATTCATTAGAACCCAACTCCTGAACATGTTTCTGATAGAGCCACTCACCAGCCAAAACATGTTTTCAAATCAACATCTCAGTTTCAACCAGCAGTAGAAATCCTGCAAAGGTCCGAGCAGCGCTTCTGAATAATACCTCCAGATCATTAGGATTATTGGAAGTCATTGCATGCATGCCTAAATGATGCAGTTTGATGGAAAACACTGCGGGCTTCCCATTTACGTCAAATTTAGTTTTTTGCTGATTACCTTGAAATCTCCAAACACCCTGTACGGCCCCCAGACCCCCCAGAGAGCTGCTACATGTCCAGGTTTAAAACAAAGGGGGAGCACGCAGTCGTGGTTTTAGCCTCAGTGATTAGATTTACTTTTAGAGCAAACCACTTTTATCTCTGTTTAAAAAGAATAAAAGAAGTTTGGCTTTTTTAAAGATAACATTTTTACACCATCTTTAATTATTACATGTCTACTTATAAAAACACCCTGTAGCTCTGGTTTAGAAAGAAGCTACGGAAAGAAAAAATAATGTAGTGATGAAGATGTGACGACACGGGTCTTGAGGCTTCTTCGAAACGCACGTCTTCACCCGGGTAGAACATTTGTTTCCTAATATTTTACAAAAGATTGTGGTTTAAGGTTTGTTCCTGCTCAGCACCTTTAAAGAATTTCAGTAAATGTGACAAAAGCCAAGCTTGAGCTTCTTCATTCATTAAGATCCATTTCCTAAGCCACTAACAACCACTTAGGTGTTCCTCACGCGGGCTTACTCCTCACATCACCTTGGCAACAGGCACAGCTGTAAAGAAACGTGACACTGTAACTAGCAAAGTGGGTAAACGAAGCGGGAGAGGAAATCCAGCTGATGGGTGTCTGAGACCAGTGATGACAGCCTTAAGACACACACAGAAAACACGTCTGCCCGGTGACTGTCAGACAGACAAGACCGCTTTAATAAACTTTGGCTTAATGTGCTTCCTATTCTTACATTAAGCCTCTCTCTGGAATAGGTTATGATAACGTCTCGTTTCTCAGAAACAGACACAGCAAGTAAAGCTTTTTTCCACAACTTATCCCGTTTTTACGAACGCACTGGGCCTCTGGAAGCAATACGAGGCAAGAACAACAAAGCAGGGGAGGATGTGTTCATGGGAACACGCCTGCATATAAACACACACTGATCTGTGCGTTACTCCCACTTCATCAGACCTGCTGCGATGTGCAAAGAGTCCTGCTCCAACACATGTGTCCCTTACATAAAGCACTAATAACTGAGCACAACCTTCCACTATACTTTTTTCATAATCCATTAATAGACAAGTTGACTGAGTATACAGAGGTAAACGGAGGGTTTTCTGCAGTTTCAGAGTTACTTGTTAAGTAATTTATTGGTGTTCATGAAACTCAGATCTCCAGCTCAAATAAAAAGCTGACATCATGCGCAGGTTTGACTGACTTATAAATATATAATTACAAATAAAGAAACCAGATGAATCCTGTAGCCTGACAGCTTTGAGCGGACCGACCGACTCACCAAGCCCCGCCTCCATACACACGTACACAAAGTTGGAAAGTTGGGATGTGAAGAGCAGCACAAAGGCTGTTTGCTGCTCCGGAGGCACAGTGATAATAGGTTTAGGTGTGGATCCGAGGTCTGAATGCCAACTGGTTGGAAAAGCTCATTAAACAGCCATATGAATTTAACCAGAGGAGAAAACGCAGATGTTTTCCACTAATGCGTTTAGGTCAGCATCACCAAGCAGCCCTATTCATGAGCTGTGCAGGTTCGGTAATCGTGTGAAAAGAAAATTTAAAAAGGAGAAAAAAGAGACTCAGACGGTTTCGGTTTGCTCACATTGATCTAAATAAAGCTTCATCCTGCCTGCCTGGTTCACAATCAGTCAGTTTTCACCAACAGCTGCTTAAAGTAATGCAGGCAACACCGCAGCATTTAACAAGTTTCCTTGTTTAAAAAATGTGTTAATTATTAAACTAAAATGTCATTGTGTGCTTTTTCTTTTTCACAGCAACAGTAGGCTGGCATCAGGAGAAATTATACTGGCAATATATTAACAAAATAAAACCATTCAGCTGACAGGACGATTAAAATGATTCATTTATGGATGAAATTCTGAATGAGGGACGCCTGCTGATTATTGATTTTCTTTTGCTACTACTTTTATGATCTCTGCATCTCTCTGCTCCAGAGATCTTCATCTGTATCTGTCGCTGTATCTGCACAATGTGCACAAACACTTCACCCCCTCCTGCACCCATCCCAGTTGGACCATGACAATCCCATTCACCCTGGCAATATGTCATTCCTGATCCGATTAGTATCAGCAGCACTTGAGAAACCGCAAGCTCCTTGTGGTGAGGGTCCTGAGAGGGAGGCATCTGTTGGCTCTAACAGGGGAGACCAGGCCAGGCCGGGGGTGGAAGCCAGGGGTGAAGGCCCTCGGTAATCTACTGCAGACACGTGCCCGAGTGGAAACCAGAAAACAGCAGCCTCATCCTCACACACACACACACACGCACACAAAATACATCAAAGCGAATTGACAAATTCTGAGGGAATGCTCATTAAATCTGTAATATGATTCATAATTATCTGGACAGCTAATTTTAAGAAAAGCCAAGGCAATCTTGGCAGCAGAGGCACTTTTACACATTATGTCCTGGGCCGTGGCGTGAGAAGGCAGACGTCTGTGTTCCTTTAAACTAAACCCCTCCTCTTAATTCTTTGTTTTATTCCTCAGCCCCTTTGTCCCCTCTGGGCTGAAGGGCTTCTTTCGAGAAAAGCAGGATAGAGGTGTAATCCTTAAAAACCTCGCTGTAATGCTCTCATGCTTCCCAAGATCCACTTTTTTAATCCTCATATACATGTAGAGGATTCATAAATCCGGCTCCAGCCTGACAAGATAGTAAATCTAGTAATATTACGACTGGGTGCAAAAACGCTGCCATCTACAACATGTGGCACAGAGATGTGATGATTGTATGATTATGGTGAAGAAAGAATTCATGGAAGTGTGATTCTTTGACAAAGCAGACTAATTAAAAAAACGAATCCAGGAAAGAAGACGCTCAGGAGGCTCAGGACACAGTTATTTGTCTAATAAGAGTCAGTTTTATATATTTATTGGTTTTCTTGTCTTAGTTGATGAAAAACAATCATTAGAATCACTTAAAACTATAATTTTCAGACTTTTTAGACAATTAACTGGATACGCAGAAGAATGACAAATGAATATGCTGATTAAATTAATACTGAAAGCCTTACTTGTAGGCACACGTGAGCCTGTGCATGGAGCTTTCCACTCACTGTGTGGTTCAGCTCACATTAAAGAGTCATGATTAAGGAGCATGACAGCAGAGTGAAATAACACTGACATTAAAGGTCAGGCCATCGTGAGTCACTTTCACTCTAATCACATGACTCACACGTGGCGCTCAGGTGTTTTTGTGTTTCGTTTTAAACGTAGCGCTTTAATAATAAGGTGCAGAGAACAGTTTGAAAGTGAGCGATTTTAGACGAATCAAAAAGCGAGTCAAAGATTATCCAGCTGGCTGCACTGTAAACATGACCTGCAGGCATTTCCTGCGCTCGTGTCCAACCCGGTCTCACAAACCACGACTAACAGCGAGTCGAGTCTGGCTTAAAGCATTCTCACCATGCAGCGAGACCTCTCAGTCAAATGTCAATAAGGGCCGTCGAGTGGCGGTCGGCTGTAACAATGACGCCCTCCTCAGCAACACAAAGCCCCGCTGGGCTGCCGCTCCATTCTGGTAAGGGGTGGGGGCATGCTAAAAATACCACTGGGACCTGCTGCTATTCACTAAACAAACTGGAGCTAATAGGAGGCCACAGTGCTCTGCCACACACACACTGACGGAGATGGCTCTCTACGATGCCTCCCTAGAGAGCGAGATATAATCAGAGAGATTGGTGGCGGACTAGGGCAGTGAAACAGGCTGGTCTGTAGCCAACAGGAGCAGGATAGCAGGTCAGGCCTCATCATCACAACATGTTTGCCTGGCTGGCTCACTTCACACAGAAAGGATTTAGCAAATAGAGGTGTAAGAATGCAGCCAAAGGCAGGGCGGTAAAAAGAGTGGAGACACTGAAATATTTTGGAAAAACAACAACAACAAAAAGGAGGAAAGGGTAACAAATGACAATGAGAGACAAACATCACTCGCACGCACCCACAAGACTGGCATGGTCACAAATATTTACAGAAATGCTTGTGTGAAACCACAAGCAGGAAGACAGCATGAGCCTGTGGGCAGCAAGCACCCTGAGAGGCACCATCAATGCCCACCAGAGTCTTTGGACTTCTGCTCTAGTCGGTGCCATTCACTCCGGCTTTCTGACACGTTTGTGTGTTTATGAGTGCGCATACAAACAACAGCACGCACAACAGGATATAACTGTAACAAAGTGACGGAGACCAAAGTTAATAACGTATGCAAAGGAAAACAAAAGCCAAACGCTGGAACAGGAAAACTCAAATCTGCAGCTTTAACCCACATTCTGCTGTCTCAATCTCCACCTAGTGGTAACCTGCTGCAACTGCAGGACTTGAACTACAACATTGCTTGGTGAAGCAAGTTCATGTTCAGCAGATTTGCTAAAATTGATTATTTTTAGTTTATTTTTATCAATATCTAGAAACAAACAGTTTTTAATGCTTTTCTGACCACAACAGTTTTCAGTAGTCAGTATACGTCAAGATAACAAATCCAGTCAGACAACGAGGAGCAAACTGCTTTAAAAAATACAAATCTGCTGTTTTTTGTACTTGCTGTGTCTGAAAGTTCTGCTAAGTGTACCTTGGCCAAGACAGAGATGTAAGCCTTGAGAGAAGTCAGTGCCCGCCCTTGGAAAACAGACTGAGCACCCAGCTCAACGCGCAGGGAGTAGTGCAGCGTTGACTCCAGGTCTGCCATATACACCCTGAACCTGAGTGCAAAAAGCAAACAATCACATCAAGGCGAAATATGAGTCAGTAAAGATGTTTGTGGATGTTGTGTCTCATTCATACTTGTCGAACGGTCTCCAGGGATCCTCTGTGTTGTTTTTAAGGAGTTCGGTGGAGACTGGTGGAGGCTTCCCTGACCGCACCACCCCCGGTAGCCTCTGGAGGGCATAAGAGTAGAAGGCACGAGCCTCAATGTCACTGTGGGAGAAAGGGAGAAGTGAGGCCATCACTTACACAGGTTAATACAGGATGTTTTCAGTGTGAAAGTGCATCTGTGCAGAGACGTGCACACTGAGAAATGCAACAATCACACCTGAGTAACATTAACGTGTCCATATCTGCAGCGAACCTCAAAAAGCAGTTTTCTGTTTCGTTTTTTATTTCAGTTTCAATCTTTTGTCTCAGCAGTCCAACGCCATAAAACCCTTTTTACGACCTGTATTTTTCACGGCCGTATATTTTACACACTTACGGGAATGCATTTTAAATACTAGGCAGATGGTGCCAGGGTAAGTAGGAGAGAGAGGTATGGCTGATCATTTAGGCATGTGATAACCCTGCAACCACAACCACTAAAGCGCTCACCACCCTCCATCCCTCACATCCTCCCCTCATTTTCCTTCTCTCCTTGTCACGGACGGAGAGAGAGGGAGGGGGAACGAGAGAGGGAGAAAGAGCGAGCGAGAGCATCGTAAAACTTGAACAGGATGGTAATAAGGAGGATGGATACTCGGGGCCAACGCTTACTCACACCAGCCTGGGACTCAATTACACCTGCGTGTGTGTGGGAGTGTACAGATGTGGAGGGGAAGCCATTCATCCAGCGATCCCCAGGGCCAGCAGGCAGGCAGGCAGGCATCAGGGTGAACTGAGGGGGAATGCATTCACCTGGGACCAGCACACATTACATGCATGAAGGATGTGAGACGCCACCCGCACGCTCGCGCGCAGACACGCAAACACAGGCGCACACCACTGTGCTCTCCCAGGATCAATCAGACATTCAGCGATGATGGGAGGCCATCTGTCGCCGTGTGTGGCTGGGGCTTGTTTGGCAGGTGAAGCCAGAAAAGCAATGGCATTGTTTTCATGCAAGAAATTAAAAAACCTCCCTTCTGTACAGTGATGGAGATGAGGGGGGCTGGAAAGGGGAGAGATGGAGGGTGAATAAATAAAACAGCAATAAATCATTTCCTCTTTGCATTTGTCAACTAAAAAGAGTCCTCTTTGCATGCCAAGTTATTGAAACAGCCAAACAAAGAGGCATAAACAGCAGATGAATTTGCAGGGTGAGGAATGATCAGCGCCGCTTTATGATGGTGAATAATGGAGTGATTTTGATGCTCTGATCCCATTAAGAGGCCAGATGTTTAAAAATATTCTCATGAATAGCGTTCAGATAATGAGAACACTACCAAGCTTTTCGGAAGAGAGCGGTGCAGCCGCGTGTTGAACAATGACAACCAAAGGGGAATAAACTTGGTGTTTGTGCAACTCTGACCCAGTTTGAAAGGAAAGAAAACAGGTAGGAGATCCATGCAGGGCACGGACCTTCTAGTTCCACAATATTGGCAGATGTTTCCACAGCCAGCGTGAGCAATGCATGTGCTTCTCTCAGGCTCACTGCCTCAGCTCAGCCATTCAAAAAGAACGGCCTCATTATAATAATGCAGAAATCAGATTTTTACGTTTTGTGCGCCTGTTTCACGTTTCATTGCTTTGGGCAAGGAGCAACTGTGTTGGACTGAGAAACAGACATTTCTACTGGAGCCTTAGACTTTCTTACGTTCTGTTAGTGCTTAGCCAAGGTTACTGTCACATTTTAGCTGGCTGCCTCCACTTATGTGTTTACATAGTGTGGTCGGTTTTATAGTGGTGCTAAACTGGTGGAAACTCCGCCCGCGAGCCTGCACTGGTGCTCACTGCACTGGTGCTCACTGCTACCCTCTTTTCTCACCTGCATTCTCCTCTAGTAACTACAGCGAGGCCAAAGCGCATGAAGGACACGTCGTACAAAGACCTGTAACTGCCCTTTTATGTTTGTGCTGTACAGTCCAAAGTTCTGCCCACCCACAGAGATGTTTTCACTTTCTGGCCGATTCTCACGATGTCCAAGAGTTTATACGGAAACAACAAGGTCACCAAATAATGAACAATAACAAATATCAGTCAGAAAAATCAAGGAAATCCGTGAATAACAAGGTTGATTAGACAAACTGAGTAAAAACATTAGATAAGGAGTGTGTGGGTTGTTTCAAATATTTTGATTTTTTTCCATAAGATCATCAGTATTATTATAGAGCGTGCTGAACGCCCTTACATTTTCCTTATACTAGAAAAATGTGTTTATAAACTTTATTTTGTCACTTTTTCAAAAGCAGTTTGACATGCAGTAGATACTGTAAAGACTCTCACACTCTGAGTCTGGTGAAGTTGCCTCCAGGATAATAAAGGTAACAGGATGGAAACTCTGTGACGCCCAGTTTGGTCACCAGGCTTTCCTCAGTGTTCAGGACCCTGCGCACCGCAATGCTGTCAAACTGTAACAGGTCCAGGGTCACCTAACGTACAAAACACACACACACTTTACCTCGCCATGTTTCATAACACGGACCTATTTAATGTTAATACGCCGCCGTTTGACAACAAACACTGCGAGCGTTTCAGTCACATCTCCGACGTGTTACCTCTCGGCCAACGTACGACGTGGCATCTTCAAAGATGAGAGCCAGGTGTTTGACATCGTTCGTCTCAAAGAAGACGTCGACCTCCATTTGGCTGGGGGGAGGGGGGGGGGGGAGGGAGAGGGAGAGACCCACATCTGACTTTTTAAAAATCAGCAAAGATAAATAAATAAAAGTGAATCATTATGTGTCTAAAGGTCATAATAACAGTATTTAGGGTGCAGAATGGTTTGCGTGTGTTTAATGTGTTACATGCTTTTCAAGAATGTAAAAATAAACTAAATGAAAAACACAAACAAAAACACCACCTTTCTGTCATTTCTCTGCCTCCACCTAAAATACTAAAACTTTACAACAAAATCGTCTCCACCTGTGAAAAAATAAATTAAAAAAAATCTTTTTTTGCTTAAAAAACCCCAAACAAAAAAACCAACTGCATTTCTGAATTTCTGCTCTAACATGACGCTTTCACTTTAAACCCAAAGAGAAAGACTTCCTGGGCCTTCCCCTGCTGAACTATGTGTGCTTTAGTTCACATGTCTGTATACTGTATGCGTGTGTGCCATGCGTAGGCACCAGGGCGGCCATGTAGTAATAATGAGCTAATGGGGAGTCTTCTGAGTCAAACTGAATTTGTCATAAACTTTAGAAATCAACTTTTTTAACCCCTTATTTAAATTTAAAGTGAACAGTTCTTTTTTTTTTTGCTTATAGGAACAATTCTGCAAACAAAACTACAAAATCCACAGAAAGTTGAAGATATGAATTAAGTTCAACAACAAAAAAAATAAATAAATAAAATACACTGGGAACATGACAGATACTGGAAAGGCTCAATTTTAGGTGCATACACAATCGAGTAAGAGGACAGAAACGAATTCAAAACAAGTTATTTTATGAAGGCAGGGTAACAGGAACCGCAAAAGAAGAGCGAAAAATATTGAAATAGAACCCGTTTTGTGGAAACATGTTTTGTATGCTTGTAAAAGTATGGGACGTGTGGAAATACATTTTGTGGATGTTATTGTTGTAAAATTAAAGTTATAAGAATCTTTTATAAGTTGCTATATGCGCATTAATTCCTTCAGCTGGTCGTTTAAGCCCCTTGGTAGGTGGTTGCTAGGCAACACAGAGACATCATAATATCATATTAGATGAGAACCCTCGAACCCCTAACTGTGTAGGAGTTACTGCAGATACATCAGCTGGCTTCAGTCGTGAGTGATGATTGAACAGACGATAAGACTGCAACTGTAAAACTGCTGATAAAAATAAGTTTATAGAAACTAGTGTTTCTGCTCGTGTGTTTACCTGGTGGGCTCCAGTGGGGGGCAGGCAGGGGGCCAGGGTTCACCGTGGGTTTCCAGTTTGTCTAAGATCTTGTGACGGAGGTCTTGAACATTACGGCTAAACTCTAAAAATAAATAAATCAAAAATGCAAAGATTTTATTACAGATGATCTTAAACTGACACAAATCCGTATTTACCAAAACATCAATACAAACGAGTCCAAAACAGGTAACTGTACTCTTAGGTTGGTGAAATAAATGATGCACAGTGGATATAGAACACGTTTGAGCTAAACCAAGACAAAATAATTAGAAACAAAGGAGGAAGTTTGAGGGTTAAGCATATTGAAATAACACCATGACTACACAAGACAACTTATGGTGGTGTTTCCAAGAAAACAAGCTGAAGGCTCGGTGAGTGTCCTCTCTGTGTGTAATACCTCTAAAAGGCAGTCCTTCATAATCAGGCTTGGAGTAGGCATGGAAGAACTGAGAAGAGAAAACAAAGAGGGAGGTCTCAGTTAAGAAAAGACGAGAGAGAGAAGTGAGATGTGATCAGACGGGCCTCACAGCTACGAGTGAAGCAAAGTCATGTTCTGTAATATCTGATTGGGGGGGCAGCCCTCCTCTTGACCTCTTCCTGGTTAAAATGAGTAGCAGATGTTAAAGCTCCAGTGCAAGTTCAAAACAGAAGGAGCTCTTTGTTTTATTGGCTTTTGATGCGTGAGCTTGAACACACTCTGCTGACTAATCAAGTATGAGTGCAGATGTTTGAATTTCTGCGATGTGGCTGTTGATCATGCAAACGTTGCATGTGGCAGACTGACGAGATACTGCAGCTAATACAAGAATAACGTTTTCAAAATGACTCCTTGATGTTGAGACTACTAAAGGACAAACTACACAAAGTATTGTTTGTTTTTATATACACACTGTTTTCATACTGCCTTAAACAAATATGCATAATTACAACAGGATTAAAATCTAGAACAGGACCCGTGAATATAACAGTGTTTGATTCAAAGAGTAAAAAATGGGACCGTTACTCATGCAAAGGTTTAACCATCATCTGCAGAATATGATCAAATCTTTGCATCACTGCTGGAAGAGCTGAGAAGGAAAAGCATGGACCTTCATGGGATCCATCTCCATGTGCCACCCCTGCACGGGGGAATGTGCTGGACTCATTTCTAAACAGGATTCATTAATGCAAACACGGCGAGCAGATCCCAACAAGCTGAATGTAGGACAACGAGTATGTTTGTATAACACAATTTGCAGTTTCTGTGATAGTTTTCTAACAGTCATGTGCTACTTTTTTTTTTTTTTTTACCCTGTGTCTGATAATCATCTGCTTTTGTACACTCGTACACTGACACGTCATTATTTCCCCAGTGCAAAACTGAAAATAGAATAGAGAGGGGGAAAGACAAAAACACTGAGTAACAGTTGTAGGTTGTGTCAGCCTTTATTTTAACAGCATGTCTTTTTCCTCTGTGAAAGTTTCCAGCCTCTTCTAGTGAAATATGCACACCTGTGACTTCAGCACGAGCAGTGAAACAGTGACAGTCTGATGATGGTCTCTCGTGCTTTCGTTGTAGCTACTGAATAAAAGCCAGACTTGGTAAAGAGTCTATTTGACAGTGTTTACTTTTGAAAACTAGAACAAAATCTAAATGTGGGACATGGCCTCAGTATGTGGGACAGGGGGTGGGAACGAGGGGTAGAAATGCTGTGTGCTCAAATCTAAGGGGGGGCTTTGGTCACCCTACATGCAAACTGTTACATAAAAGCCATATCAATGCCCAACCATGTGAAACTGAGTTGTTAACAACAAACTGCCTTTTCAATTTCTTTCCAACTTTCTTATTTCTTATGTCTGAATAATTGTGATTTAATTTATTCGGAGAACTAAGTTGTTTACTTTCTTTATGTTCTCCTTTGTGGATCACTGTAAGGATCTTAACTCCAACTCATTGTCAGCGTGCTGTGGTGCAGCACCTGGAGACCAACTACAGCTCTAAGCTTAGTCAAGGGAACTATGGGAGTCAGGTTCTCCTGAGAAAACCTGCAGGAGCAAAGAGGGGTAAAAACAAGCGAACCACACAGAAACATCCTGCCACTCAGGGGGTCCGAACATGAGACTTTCCTGCTGTGACAAGACAGTGAGCCACTGTTTTTGGATGCCTAATTCAGCCTCTTTTTCATATAATCAGCAGCTTTAGTGGAAAGAGTGAATTTCCACACAACACTCATCATAAAGGAAGAAACAGCCATGCAGACAGTTCATATATAGCATACGACCTTTATTGTGGGGTACCCTCGGACTTTGTAGGTTTTGCAGACCTCCCTGTTCTCCTGATCAGCGCAGTCTACAGCTGCCAGATCCACAGCCGGCTTCCACTCTGAACAGACATCAAACAGAGGGAGACAGACCCACAGTAAATATTTATTTACAGTCTACTTTGCTGTGTACAGTCCATCAGCACTGGATGGGGCCCCGAATTAGTCTCGATCCATGAATCAATATAGAAGGTACGGCTTTTAGGATAAAAACTTCTAGCTATAAGCAAACTGTCAGCTGCTACAGGTGAGCAGCATTTTCCTTTGATATTCATTTTAGAAACTTTGCTTCACGAGCAGGATCGTGGGAGTCCACACACCCGACAGAGGTCCAAGGCTCATCCGGTGCTGCTCCCAGTGTAAAATCATTACATTGCGAGCATTCCTAATCCCTCCAAGGCAGGCCGTTTGATAGCATGCCAAGCCATGGATGCCACTGTGGACTGCGAGTGAAAGCACTGGACTGAAATACCCTGTGACTGTGTTGGGCCCCAGCCATCATCAGAAACTTCGTCCTTAACCATCATCCTAATTATATTTGCTCGGATGCTTCTGTGAGATTTTCGTTGGCAGCGGCTGCAGGAGCAGCTCTGAGTTGGAGAGGACGTGAGAGCAGCGAGCAAAATAAAAACACTTCCATTAGATCTCATGCTCTAATTAACAGATGGAAAGTGCAGCTTGGTGTTCTCATCATTTCCGCGCAGAGATGAAGCTCGGGAAATATTTAAAAAGACTAAATTATAGATTTTTTTTTATCCTTAAAATGTTTAGCAGAAGTTTCTTTTTAAGGCAGCGAACAAGACCAGCTGTGCAAAGCTGGAAGTGAACACAACGAGAGTCAGAATGACTGAAAGCTTTCAAATGTTGCTGCTGCTCTGTACACACCTTTAATGTCTCTGACCAGGGCTTTGTACGTCGGAGAAAAGGCGACACAGTGTCCGCACCACGAAGCGTAAAACTCCACGATCATAGCAGCTGTGGAGTTGATCAAAATAGACTCCACATTTTCCTGAGTTAACAACACGATCTGGTCCGAAGCCGTGTACAGTCCGGCCTCCGCGGACGGAAAAAGGAGGCACAAGCACAACCAAACCGCAGATGTTGCCATCTTTCTGGGATGTGTTTGTATTTCTTCACACCGAGACGTGGCACGGCCGGAGCGCCGCGCCATCTTCCCCCTCCGAGCTGCTGCTGCTGCTGCTGGAGCTCCGAGTCGTCTCTCTGAGCGCACACACTCACTCCGCTGTCACAAAACTTGTCACAACTTTTTCTGCCTCTGCTTTTTTATGCCCACCGGGCTTCGTGGGTCCTCCCCCTGCCGTGCAAACCAAAAGTGCCATACAAACAGCGCAACTCCGCACGATCGCCCATTTGTCGTCACTTTAAACGCACGCTAGAATAAGATGAAACTATTAATTCATGACGATTTAAAGTCACGTGCAGGACACGACTCTACACAGGAAATGTCATTTAATGGCTGTACAGACTTTAACTGCGAAGTAATACGCGTCCGAGCACACGTTTAGTTTTATGTGTTTAGTTTGTGGTTTTCTGCAGAAGATACAATTTTGTGACGAGACAGAGTTTTGCATTTTGAGGGCAGGTGTCCTTTAACAGAACAGCCACAGAGACACAATATTCAGTTTATTTCCAGCTTTTTAATCTATAACGCAAACACACTAGACTAATGAAGAAAGATCCCTAACAATAAAAAAAAAAAAAACACTCTTTGAGGAAGCATTGGCAACGGTGGGAAGGAAAAACTCCCTTTTAACAGGAAGAAACCTCCGGCAGAACCACGCTCAGGGAGGGGCCACCTTCATAGACTCACAAAGACTACAAAGTTATGAAATCAACAATGAATGGGAGCAGAAACAGAAGTAAACCTGTGCAAAACTCACCCACAACAAAAAACAGACTTCCATGTAGGGGGAGCTGGAGACAATTTACAGGTGTGTGCAAAACAATTCATTACTTGGAGAAATGAAAGTGAAGACCATTTCACAGAATAAGCTGCATTTGACTGTTCAGGTATGACTATATTAGAAACTTACTTTGACACAGAAGGAAACACAACTAAGAATCAAACTATGTTAAAAAAGGAGACCTTGTTGTATGCTTGTTTTGACCAGACTTGTATCCTACACGGTGAAAAGAGCCTTTAAAAGTTACCCAGGACACACTTTGTGAGTTGTTTTCAGTGAATTTAAGAAAACAGATAAAACATGGATGGTATCCGTGTTTAGGTTTCAGGTGACTCTAATTTAGGGGGGAAAGTGCAGTTTTATTGAAACTGTGATAAATCCAATAAAACTGATACCCAGCAATTGGGGGAAAAAAACAAACTCTGGTGCTGGTGTCACTTGGGTTGATATAAAGTTGATTCGTTTGCAGTTTTTAGACGAAGCCTAAATGTGTTTTTCAGCCCTGCTCATTATGCTGGAAAAGCAAAGGCCACGATCTTCAACACAGCCCTGCGTGTTTTGGAGGCCTGTAACTTTAGGGATGGGACTTCAGTGAATATGGTAAAGTTATTAAAAACACAATCTTCATTTTCCCAAACTTGGTTGGTTTTATGTTGAATGAGTCTTTTTTTCTTTTAAATGAAAACGATTCACTGATGCAGTGAGATGGATCTCCAGCTCTTCTGCTAATTTGCAGATAGCTTTGCAACAATAGCCTCACGACTGCGCCCTAAAACAATGTGACAAACAAACATCAACACCTGTTTGGTCGCACAGTCGAACATTACAGAGAGATTTGTTATCCTGCCGTCAGCACTGTAACATGTGGGAGCTACTTCTGCACACCCTAAATTAAAATTGAAAACATTTCACATCACATTCCTTTAGAAACAATGAAAGCTTTATTTACAGTTTCAAATTTCATTTAGTAAACAAATATATACTATGTACATATTTGCAAAGTAAACAGTGTTTTTTTTTCCTTTTTATACAACAATCGTTAAAGTTACCGTAAGTGTGGGTCAGATTGGACAAACAGTATATTTACACCCATAAAAGATTTGTACTAATTTTCAAGTGCACTTGCAGCACACTCACAGCACATTATTATAAATATTCAGGGAAATCTAATTCGACTTGTTAATATGATACTCAAACATCTTGTGCCTACTTTTTACAGAGATCAAACGGCAGGTGCTGCGTCTCCTGTGAAGACCTCGGACCAGACGATAGGAACGACACCGCTACACCAAACAGCTTCAAGCTACTTGAAGGCTGAGTTAATCTACAGACTACAGCTGAGGTCTTAAGCTGTTTGGTCCAGACACACAAAACAATAAGTACAACCAAGTACTGCATAGTTACAGAGGGGAACTTAGCTTCCACCAACATACAATCAATTGAAGAGGACAAAGACGGAGGAGTCGCAATAAAGCCTTGCAGAAAACGTTTCTAAGATACTAATCATGTCACCAGACTTTAATGTCATATAGCATGGAGACTGGTATGAAACGTTTTTGGTCTTTTCCTACATTATGTACAGTTTGAACATACACCTCAACACGTATTCAAACAGCATCAGGAAGGGGAAAAGAAAAAGACTCAGTTTAAGGTCACTTTAGCTCCAAGCAGTCAGTGAGAATTAACAAGCTCTCTCATACATGCCACAATGAGTTTCTACAGTTTGTTGGATCAAAGCCACACTGACAGTGGCACAAAAAAAAGCCCTTAGATACAGTCCTACGTGCTGAACCACATCAGCTCAGTGACTCACACTGTGCAGCCTGTCAGCTTGAGCCACTTGTTCCTGATACAGTACATCAATAACATGACTCAACAGTGTCTATATGCACAGACACATGGGCTGGCCTGATAAGAAGCAGGTTAGACGCAAACATTTCCTCGGGCTGAGGCACAGAAGCAAGAGGAGATTTAAAAAACTGTCCAAAAAAAAAACTACACAGAAATATCTATAAGGCAGAAACTGAAGCGCTGGTTAACTGGTCAGAAGAAGAGCAGCCTTTGTAGGATCCTTTATAAAACGGTAGTATACAGCAGTTTAAGGGAGACATTCGAAGAAAATAGGTCCAAATGATGCAGAGACATCAGGAAAGTCAGTTTGAAACAAACAACTCAACTTGAAAAAGGCACTTGAACTGAATATGGAGTTCGACCACTTCTGGCTACTTTGTGATGCCTCGTTCGAACTGGTCGATGACTCGCAGCGGCCGTGGTTTTACATGACAGGGTGTTTATTTTAGGGCAAATGTTATGCAAACAAACCTTTCAGAGAGTAAATAATAAAGAAACGAGAACCACGGGTGTTTTCTCAGATAAGACGAAGTAAATGGACCGTAGGACAGCTGAGGCTCAAATCCAGCATTTCGGTACTGTCCCGTAATGTAAGTGTAAAAACATCAGCCTACTGCAGTTGTTTCTCTTCTGTTTTCGTGCTACACACTAAAGTGTCGGTTGCGTTCACACCTACCACATAGAGGAACCAGTTGATAAGGTTTCTCTGTGTGGTCAACACTGTGCTACAATGTGAACATGCTTCCTAAAGTTAGCATACAGCACAGAAGAGGAACGCACTGTTGATCGACTGGACAGCTGTGGCCACAATAAAAAGTCACACAGTTTAGACAAACAGTTTCAATCGATTATTAAGAGAACGACTTTAAATATTTAAAACACATTTCTCCATCTTCTCTGCCTGGATTCTCCTCCCTAATGTATTGCCATATTCACATTTTTTATTTGTGCTTTTACAACAATGTTAGACTTTCTTTACACAAAGTTTAAAGGAGCTCTTCTCTGTATGTTTACTTACAAGATCATTTACAATTCTGAATGTTCTTTGTGCCTCTAATTAAACATTTTCACGCAATAAATAACTAAGGAAGCAAACATGTTTCATAGACTCTTTGAACTCAGCGGTCCAACACAGCAAAGTCTGTCCAGATCTGATCAGAGACCAAGTGTTGCAACTCTAGATTTGTAATACAGCACTGACTATTTAAAGCCCCAACTCTCTGCTTTAAAGGCGTTTGATGGTCTTTAAACTGTAATGGCTGAAATACTTTTTCACAGACAGAACGTGGAGCAAGCCTTTAGTAAACCTGCAGTCAAAGCAAACCATGAGCTTTGTGAGCCAAAGAGTTGAATTTTATCATTACTGGTAGGCAAATCACTTGACCCAATGCCAACTAAGGAGGTGCTGTATTTGCCAAAGACCAGAAAGTGATCTAAAAGTCCCCGTAAACAAGCAAGAGCTACAGCGGTTAAGGCAAACTTACAGAACCCTGCAAAGAGGACTGTGAATAAAACGAGCTGCAATTACCCCCCCAGATCACTGGGTCTGGATGTGAAACCTACAAATTAAAGCTTAGAGTTGGTACTTTAACCTGTTTAGTTTCAATGTGCTGCATTACAAAGCCAAGGCTATAATGTATCACTGTCAAACCAGACTGCACGTTATATTGCTCATTTGTTGTTCTACTACAATTTTTGAATCCACATATATACACATTTACCTAAAGATTTACAATTCAAAAGAATTATCTACTACTGTTCTGAGTGGATGTTATTCCAAAGTCCACGACAAAACGATCACTTAGCAGCATTCATGGACCTTCGCATGCTTGCAAATGGCACAGTCCATCTCATCATCATCAACAGTCTGCAAAACGGCCGGTCCAGGCGAGAGCTCAGACTCGTGTTAAGGTTTTAGAGGGCGGGATTGCTCAAGAGGCGTTTTGAGCGCGACCGTTGTCGCTATTACAGTCAGCTGATGCGATTCAGCGAATGAATGTTGGAGAACTAAGGACAATTTGTTTAGCTGCGAGGTAATACTGAGACTGAAGGCATCAGAGGGTTGCTGTTGGCACATCAGCTGGTGGAAGCCCGAGCAGCGACAGTTGGCTGGAGTTCACCGTGGTGGGGAAAGAACAGGATTGAGCTAGAAGTTGTAGTTTAAACTCAAGCAGAACGCCATCAGGAGAGCGTGTCTCTGTTGGCTCTCTTGTCAGAAATGAGTGTGAGCACATTCACTGTGTCCTTCAGTAAAGAATCGAAGATGCTGTCTGCTAGCTGCATTTTGACAAACAGCTCGTCCTCGTCATAGTTGACCCACTGGGCCTCCTCCTCGTGGAGTTCCTGAACCTGAGAGAGAGAAAAACTGGTTTTACTACAGAAGCACAGTGACTGACAGCTGTCCCTATGACAAAGAATATATAGTAACGCAGTAATCTTACTACTATGTAAAGTAGTCTGAGGTGACAAACACCGTGGTTGGCACCACACAAATAACATCAGAGACATTTCAGGGAGCGAAGATAAAAAGTTAATGTTCTGTGTTTATGTAAACCAGCATTTGGTTTGTCTGTTATCCTGGCTAAACATTAAAACATAGCATGATAAAGAGCTGAAA